AGTACAAATATTTTCATGAGTTGAATAGAATTAATGTTAATCTTTCAACGAATGAAAATATTCACACTATTGAACGAATGAAAAACATTCATTATTTGTTTTATACTGTACAACATCAAAGAAGATCTAATAGAACGTTAATCAACAAATTATGCTTTACTCCTTATATTAAAGATAAATTAAAGTTGGAGTCAAGTGAGCCTTCTCGATTACATTCAGATTGCCTTCGTGTCAGATACACGCGCATACACGGGATACGCGCAGGGCAGAGAGGTACGCAGTCTGCATATAACCAAAAATGCACGGCGCATATAACCAAAAATGCACGCCAACAAGATTTGGATTGAAAGGCCCTTGCCTCCCCCCTCCCCTCAGCAAAAAAGAGAAAGGGAAAGAAAATAAAGAGGAAGAAGAAAAAACAAGGGGGGAAAGATACGTTTTTGCGCCCCTCTCACCCCCACCCCCCTCCAAAACGAGAACAAGCGCCAGATACGCCACTGGACACCACAGGCATACTCAGTGGCGGATCCAGGGGGCCGAAACGGCCGCGGCCCCCCCCCCCCCCCCCTATTGGCGGCGCAAAAAAAAAGGAAAAAAGAGGAAAAAAAGAAGAGAGAAAAAAAAGGAGAAGCATAAGAAAGGAGAAGAAAAAGAAAATAGAAGAAAAGAGACAAGAAAGAAGAGAAAAGAAACACACAGAGAGGGGAAAAGAAAAGCCCCCCCCCCCCCCTTTCTCCCTCCCACTCCGGGGTCGGAAGGACAGAACTCGTGTTCCCAAAATCTCCGGTAAAGGAGTACTTTTCACCCAACAAAGTCCGACCCGTAATACACAAAAATCCGGCCCGTACTGACTTTACACACCGGAGATAGAGGGGTGCTTTCAAACAGAGGGAAATACGTACGCGTACCCTAGATAACACTGAGTGGGGGGGGGGGGGGGAGAGTCGGGTGAGAAAGATGGAAAGACAAGGAAATGGCGCTTAGTGACAGTAACTTTCGAGCCACGGAATCAAAGTTAAAGGTTAAAACAGCCCCTGCGCTGTAAAGTCAATTTTGTAATTAACGGTAGGGGGGCCGCTTCACAACTCTTATTTTGCTCTTCATTTGGCCTCAGCTCATATAAACTCGCTTGAGCTTGTATTTGAGCTCATGTTGGTAGTAATCATGGACACGGGCGGTGATCCTGGGCCCGATAGGAGGACACGTCCGCCGGGAAATTTAGAAATATAGCTAGAAAGATATATAGCGGAAAGAACTTACAAATTGGGCTTAGGGATTTCCTAGAGTGCATAATGTCAGCATTCAACATTGCAAAATCTCACTTGGTCGCTACGCCCCCTCACCCAATAACACAAAACTATGATATGACACTCGGCCCACGCTCCCGGCCGTGATTTATCCATGGTTGTTGCAATAATTTTTGTTCTTCACTATTTCTACTAACATTATTGTGTGCTATCACAATCATAATTGTTTCATTTTCCCTTTAAAGCAGGCGCGTAGCCAGAGTCGAGAATGGAACAACGAATCGTCTTCTTTCTCTAATAATTTCATTAAGCTATGAAAGGTCAAAGCTTACGCGCTTTGCGCAAGAGGGGGGGGGGTGGGAACTGAATTCAGACAAGGATTAATAATCGAGAATGGTACGACAAATCCTCTTCTTTCTCTAATAATTTAATGAAACATCAAAGCTTCCACGTTGTTGACTTGGACTGGGGTAGATGACAATATTGTCTAACCCTGTCCAAGTCATGTAAATTAAGGCTTGTGTGGCAGAAAGACATTATTATCTACCCCTGTCCAAGTCATGAAAATTAAGGCTTGTGTGGCAGAAAGACATTATTGTCTACCCCTGTCCAAGTCAAGAAAATTAAGGCTTGTGTGGCATAATAAAAAAACATTACATGTATTATATACCTGTACCACTGTCCAAGTCAAGAAAATTAGGGCTTGTGTGGCAGAAAGACATTATTGTCTACCCCAGTCCAAGTCAAGAAAATTAAGGCTTGTGTTGCTAGAAAGATATTGTTATCTACCCCAGTCCAAGTCAAGAAAATTAAGGCTTGTGTGACAGAAAGACATTATTATCTACCCCTGTCCAAGTCAAGAAAATTAAGGCTTGTGTGGCAGAAAGACATTATTGTCTACCCCTGTCCAAGTCAAGAAAATTAGGGCTTGTGTGCCATAAAAAAAACATTACATGTATTATATACCTCTGTCCAAGTCAAGAAAATTAAGGCTTGTGTGGCAGTAAGACATTATTATCTACTCCAGTCCAAGTCAAAAAAATTAAGGCTTGTGTTGCTAGAAAGATATTGTCATCTACCCCAGTCCAAGTCAAGAAAATTAAGGCTTGTGTGGCAGAAAGACATTATTATCTACTCCTGTCCAAGTCAAGAAAATTAAGGCTTGTGTGGCATAAAAAAACATTACATGTATTATATACTTCTGTCCAAGTCAAGAAAATTAAGGCTTGTGTGTCAGAAAGATATTGTCATCTACCCCAGTCCAAGTCAAGAAAATTAAGGCTTGTTTGGCAGAAAAACATTATTGTCTACCCCAGTCCAAGTCCAGAAAATTAAGGCTTGTGTGGCATAAAAACATTACATGTATTATATACCTGTACCACTGTCCAATTCAAGAAAATTAGGGCTTGTGTGGCAGAAAGGCATTATTATCTACCCCAGTCAAAGTCAAGAAAATAATGGGCTTGTGTGGCAGGAAGACATTACATGTATTATATACCTCTGTCCAAGTCATGAAAATTAAGGCTTGTGTGGCAGTAAGACATTATTATCTACTCCAGTCCAAGTCAAGAAAATTAAGGCCTGTGTTGCTAGAAAGATATTGTCATCTACCCCAGTCCAAGTCAAGAAAATTAAGGCTTGTGTGGCAGAAAGACATTATTATCTACCCCTGTCCAAGTCAAGAAAATTAAGGCTTGTGTGGCATAAAAACATTACATGTATTATATACCTGAACCACTGTCCAAGTCCAGAAAATTAGGGCTTGTGTGGCAGAAAGGCATTATTATCTACCCCAGTCCAAGTCAAGAAAATAATGGGCTTGTGTGGCAGAAAGACATTACATGTATTATATACCTCTGTCCAAGTCATGAAAATTAAGGCTTGTGTGGCAGAAAGACATTATTATCTACTCCAGTCCAAGTCAAGAAAATTAAGGCTTGTGTGTCAGAAAGACATTATTATCTTCCCCTGTCCAAGTCAAGAAAATTAGGGCATGTGTGGCAGAAAGACATTACATGTATTATACCTCTGTCCAAGTCATGAAAATTAAGGCTTGTGTGGCAGAACGACATTATTGTCTACCCCTGTCCAAGTCAAGAAAATTAAGGCTTGTGTGGCAGAAACACATTATTGTCTACCCCTGTCCAAGTCAAGAAAATTAGGGCTTGTGTGGCTAAAACACATTATTATCTACCCCAGTCCAAGTCATGAAAATTAAGGCTTGTGTGGCAGAAAGACATTATTGTCTACCCCTGTCCAAGTCAAGAAAATAGAGGCTTGTGTGGCAGAAAGACATTATTATCTACCCCAGTCCAAGTCAAGAAAATTAAGGATTGTGTGTCAGAAAGACATTATTATCTTCCCCTGTCCAAGTCAAGAAAATTAGGGCTTGTGTGGCAGAAAGACATTACATGTATTATATACCTCTGTCCAAGTCATGAAAATTAAGGCTAGTGTGGCAGAACGACATTATTGTCTACCCCTGTCCAATTCAAGAAAATTAAGGCTTGTGTGGCATAAAAAAACATTACATGTATTATATACACTGCACACACAAAACCATCCACCCATGACACATACATACACAGAGCCATACACTGCCTACTACTTTGCTTACAAATACTACACACTAACAAGTCACACACACACACACACACAAGTACTGTAGATGCGCATAGTACCTAGCTACCTGGATGTCAACTGTAGATGGCACTGTTCCGTTTGGCTACTTGGACACAACCCCTCTCTAAAATTTGGACATTTATTTTGGGCCTTTTTTGGGGAAAATTTTTTCTTGTGTGACTAAATCTTAGTTGATTAAAAATGACATGTCAGACATCTTAGACACTGAATATGATAGTTTTCTTGTGTGGCTAGACACACAAGTCTAAAGTGACACACAAGGATATCTCATACGTAAAACTAAACACACAAGCATACCATCGCAAACTCGGACGTACGTACGGACGGACGTACGGACGGACGGACAACCCGAAAACATAATGCCTCCGGCTACTTCGTAACGGAGGCATAAAAACTATTACTTATTTATGCATTGACAAGTCTATGAATATCTTGAAAACATGACCCTTTTTCCATTAGAAATAATGCCTCCGGCTACTTCGTAACGGAGGCATAAAAAGATTTGGGACATTTTTCAGACGCTGAAATGTTTTACATTTCAGAAAATTGTGAAATTTCCAACTAACATCCGTACAAAAAGTCAATATGAAGTTTTAATGATAATAATAACATTAGTGTCTTATGAAGAACTATACCATTAACTGACCAAAGCGCTTGCAGTATTATTATCATTTTTACCCTGGTCACTGGATTCAGTTACTATTCTGCACATTACAGTACACATTCTCCACTCCCTGTGGAGCATTCCAGCTAGTCACCTTTACGGGCACGCACATGCTAATCCAACCACAATGACGTTCGCATCCTACCCGGTAGCCATTTAACACCTGGGTGGAGAGGAGTATTGTAGATAAAATACCTTGCTAGAGGACATACAAGTAAGTGCGGTGCCCGGGCTCGAACCCATGACCTTCGCTTTCCAGTCAAGTGACTATACCACTGGACTACGACACCTCTACGTATGTACTACCAGGTTAATGGTGTGCGACAGACATGTGCACTACATGTACCCAGGAACCCAGAGTGTAATAATGTACACAGAAATTTAAAACTACTCTACATACATGTACATGTAAACGTATGTGTACGTGTCCATTCCTTGTACCATACCTGAAAACGTCCTTGGTCTTGACTCTGAATTCTCTGGATCGGGTTGAACCGGCTTACCGTCGGGTGCAAGATGTAATGCGATCGGCTGAAAGATCTTTGCATCCTATTAAACGACACGATAAGAAGGATTAAAGGATTTATTGAAGAGCATTGCAATGTAGTATGTAATGAGCTATATATTAAATGAAACTAAATGTTATTATTATAAATCATATTAAAACATAACATTATACTGGTATGTTCAAGGATTGTATAATTCTGCACGATAACGACACGATAAGAGGGATTAAAGGATTTAAGCGCTTTGAAATGTATCATGTAATGAGCTATACATTAAAATAACCATATTATTATTATAAATCATACTAAAATATAACAATAAACTAGTATGTTCAAGGATTGTATAATAATTATAAGGTATGCATTTTGAGTCCTTACTGTCATTTCCAATTAATACCAATGAGATCAACACCAGACTGATGGTACACCAAATGAAAAATTGCCTTACACTCCATGGCCAAAAAAAGGTTAGCCTGGGCCCTGTTTCATGAAAACTTGTTATCAATAACAAATGATTAATTCCTATGACAAATTTGCTCTCAGCCAATCAGATGCCACGATTTCAGTAGCTTATAACAGTTATTGTAACTGGTTATTGATGACAAGTTTTATGCAACTGGGCCCTGGAATGGGTTTGGTTTTGATTTATTGGTGTGAATTAAAGGTATGAGAGGAAGCAGTTTTATTTTATTCTAATTCACCTGAAAAGAGACCCAGTCACTTACCCTTTACATTTTCTACAAATGATGTCTATTAAAGCAGTGGTTGATATACAGTCAAACCTGTCTATAGGGACCGCCCAAGGGAAACACAAAAAGCGGTCTTTGTAGACGGGTTCCTTTAGTAGATGTTTCAATGAGAAACCGTTTTCAAGGCAAACAAAAAAATGTGTTTTTTGCAGACAGGTGGTCACTATTAAAAGCAGGTTTGACTGTATATCTCTCTCTCTCTCTCTTTATATATTTATATTTGTATACATCAAATATAGAAGTGAAAGAGCATACATCAGGCAATTTCCTGACAAAGGGCATGGAAACAAGTTTTCAATTGTGTCCCTTGCAATTACATGTACATATAAACTTCTTTAATACTAAAGAGCATTTTTGTTTATAATTGCCTCACACATACAGGTAGGGAACTAGGACATTATCCACCTGTGAATGAACTAAGAACAAGGAATTAGAAGTAGTAAAATGGATGACCTACATGTAGATTTACCTATGGGGGGGGGGGCAAGATTTCACTTTTGTTGAACTGTACCAAAGATAATTATAATATTAATACAGTGTAATAACATATATTTGTAAGGTGCTGAATCCAACTGAAAGTAATATTGAATATGAAAGTAGTATTGTGCTGTAGAGCACAGCCATGGACACAATGAAATAAAAGCAAAAGAAGCTTGGGAATTGGCATGATGCGATAGCCAATGAAGAGGTTTTTAGTAGAGCAGGCTTACAGAACTACAGAATGATTCAAAGCTTTTCGTACAGAGATGTGACATGTGTAATGTACATGAATGTTAAATAATATTCGGTGCATGAAGCCAAAGTATCTCAATTTCTTAAGAATATTCACTAAAAACATGGTCATCGTTGTGTGGGAGATTCTTTCATTTTTTCTTTCCTTTTTTCTTTTTCCTTCCCTTTTTTTTTTTTTTTTTTACTTCTTTGATTGATGTTATTTTTAATTGAAATGTACACAAACCTGTTTTTGTTCCCCCAAAGTCAACTACGTAGCTTCTGATCACCATTCTAACAGGGTCTAAACCGTAATGCACTGATAATGGCTTTTATACACCTGTACATGTACATTGTACTATACATTGTATTTCTGTTATATCTAAATCAGCTCACTGAAATCTAGCTGCCCTCAATCGTTTTAGTAGTTGCAGATATTGTCTAAACTGTATTCAGTTGTACAGCGCCCTCTTCAGGTTAATATTTTGTTCAATGTTCAGTTGTGTACATGTCCCCTCTCTCTCTTTCTGTCTCTCACCCTCTCTCTCTCTCTCTCTGTTTTTTGTAATATTTTTGTTATAGCTATATACATGTACATAATGCAACATTAATTGAATTCTTATTCTGTTTATCTTATACAAGACTTTGTAATTTATTTAATCAGAAAATTATTGAATTACTCTCATCCAATAATCAGAGTATAGTCTTACAGAATTTTGTAAACATGCCTCTTTAACTATTTTATTTCCTTATAGAGCTTTAATAATCTTATTACGCTTAGAAAAACACAGGTATTAGCGCTTAGTTGAAATCTTTGAAAAGAAGCGACATTCACACACATATCGTTATGCCTCTTCCACAACAGCCAGTAGCATAATTTGGAAGGGGAGGGGGCAGGGGTTTTGTGCAGTGATTTTGGTTAGGATATTATGCTTATTTGTTTCTTTTTTTTTAATTGAGCTAAGAAAAGGAAAGGTGAAAGCAAAATGGAAACACATATATAAAAATTAATGGTGTAGGACTATCACTTCTGGCTATTTTTTTAGTCCTGACAATTTAACCTCTGACATATTGAACTTCCACATTTTGACCTTCCACATTTTGACCTTCCATATTTTGAACTTCCACATTTTGACCTTCTATATTTTGACCTTCCATATTTTGAACTTCCACATTTTGACCTTCCATATTTTGACCTTCCACATTTTGAACCTCTACATTTTGACCTTCAACATTTTTTATTTCTGGCATTTTTACCTAGCATGATTACCTCTGACATTTTTACCTCTGTAATTTTTACCGTTGATATTTTGACTTCTGGCATTTTTTCCAGACATTTTTTACCTCTGACATTTTTACACCAAACCCATGTACAGATGGATCTTGTGGATACAAGAGTAAAGAAAAATGTGACTTTATTATGGTATTAATATCATGTAACATTCTGGGTTAGATTGGGAAGGGCCTAAGTGACAATGGAAGAAGCAATATATAAATTTGTTAGATGACAGGGTAAAGGGTACTTTAAATTAGGGTATTATAAAAAATAAAAAAAATTAATTATAGACAATCTCACTGGTCACATGACACCACGCGTCCATGCATTATACAATCCTACCACGCCTACCTTCCCCAAAATTCTCATCAAAAAGTGATCTTAACCCACCGCTAAAAGTGATAATGCTGGGCTGAGATGCATGTACATGTATGCGTATCTCTGGCACAAACAGAATTAAATCGTAATGAATTGCATACATGTACAGTAGTTTTAAATAGCAAGGACATTGATGAGCACACTGAAACATGCAATGCACGGTTTGGCTGCGATATGTACTGTGATGTCATTTCAAAGCGAATGGCGCCCCCATAACTGTGCGATTTTGTTATTCTTGGATGTTTTGAAGCTTCAGCATTATTGACATATGCACTGCACATGGTCAAGTCACATACATGTATATGTAGAGCTGGATATGGAAATTGACAAGGCTTGTTCAGTTTCCCATTGTCACTAATAAGTAACTGCACTCGCAAACATGAATTATTTTATCATATCACGTGACATTCTTGGTTAGAGCGAATGGTGAGGATTACGTGACAATGGAAGTAGCAATATGTAAATGGGTCAGGTGACAGAGAGGGACTTGGGGAATAGTATCATGTGACATTGTGGGTCGAAGGGTAAGGGTCATGTAACAATGGAAGTGACAACAGGTGACATGGTAAGGGTCATGTGACTATGGGAGTTATCGGTCTCTTACTGGATCAGGTGACAGGGTCACGTCAGATTTTACTACCAAGTGCTCTCTGGGTTACAGGAAATGGTTTATTATTAAAGAGGGTTATTTGACTATAGAAGTAACAATACGTTTTTTACTAAGTCAGGTGATAAGGCAAGGGTCATATGACTGAAGAAGTAAATCTTGTGTCTTTCTATGACTATGGTATTATGATATTCTGGGTCAGACAGAATGGTAAAGTTATGTGACAATGGAGGTAATATGCAATTTATTTATTGGGTCAGGTGACAAAGTGAGAGTCATGTGACTAAGGGGGTAATATGCGACTGACTGGGTCAGGTGACAAAGGGAGGGTCATGTGACTATGGGAGGAATATGCAACTTGCTGGGTCAGATGACAAAGGGAGGGTCATGTGACTTTGGAATATGCAACTTCCTGGGTCAGGTGACAATGTGAGGGTCATGTGACTATGGGATTTACGTCACATGATTTGCCTTGTTAGGTAATATTATCAGGGTCATATGACTGTGAGAATTATATGCAATTTACTGGGTCAGGTGACAAAGTGAGGGTCATGTGACTATGGGAGTAATACGCAACTTACTGGGTCAGGTGACAACGGGAGGGTCATGTAACTATGAAAGTAATATGCGACTTTAATACTGGGTCAGGTGACAAAATGAGGGTCATGGGACTAAGGGAGTAATGGGACTAAGGGAGTAATATGCAAATATACTGTGTCAGGTGACAAAGTGAGGGTCATGTTATGATATGCTTTGTTAGGTGATATTATCAGGGTCATGTGACTATGCAATTTACTGGGTCAGGTGACAAAGTAAGGGTCATGTGACTATGGGAGTAATATGCGACTTACTGGGTCAGGTGAGATGGAGGCAAAATCAAAGCTGACCGGAGGCTGGGAAGAGGGGGACGGCGGCCCAGGGAAAGGCGAGTCCACGAAAGTCGCCCAATTCTGGAAAATTAATTACATACAAAAAAAGGGCAAGAGTTTGAAAAACTCTTCAAGGGTCGAGTTCTATAGGATTTATCATAATGGGATTTTAAAAAGAAATTGAGAGAATACATTATAGCGAGTTAAACTACAAGTGTTCAGCAACCATAGAAAAAGAAATCTAGCGACATGCTGTTTATTTCAAACTTTTTTTTTATCCATCTACTTTTTTCTGATATCTTGTGTCTGAACCTACGCATGCACTGTACAACATTCAACATTCAACTCCTCAGCTAAATCTCCGTGCAATAAATGTCTTTCAAGGACTAGCGCATGCCTGCACATTTTCAAGTTTACCAGCCTCGTTTCCATGCAATAAATATAAATATTGCCAGAGAATATCAAAAACTGTGAAACAGTTTGATAACTTAAGAATAAAACTATAAACATATCTTTTTAGAAACAATTTCCAATGTTAACTGATGACTTCAGGAAGTATGCTGAGTTTATTTTTCTCTTCACACTATTCTTTCTCTCTACTACAGCACATAAGGATATTTTTTTTTATTAAGTCCCAGTCGTCACGATTTTTCTTCAATTCATACCGGGGCCCGAGGATGACTCAGCCCTATTTTCAAAAGAGGCTATGTATTATAAGTATGAAATATTATTATCATTATATAGATGCTTCTTTTCTGTGACATTGGTGTGCAAAAAAAAAATTGCAAAAAAAAGGTTCCCATGTCTGCTCACTCATTCACCTTTACACACAGTGCAGGATTTTTTAAATGAGAAAGATGTCATTTTGAGGCTTGTGAATAAAGTTACTTAAATTAGACTTTTCTTATTAGTTTTTATATGTATTTTGGATGAATACAAACCCTAACACTAACCCTATACCTAACTTAAAATCCAATTGCAACCCTAACCCTATAATCTCAAGGAAATAAAGCCTGGAGCAATTGTTGCAAGCTCAAATATCGGGTCACCTCCTGATCAAATTTGACACAATGTGTGCACCATCTCCACTCTGTCTGAGTAGCATTTACTGACCATGTACCATACACATGCATGCATGCATCCAGCTCAGTGGAAAATACATGTACATGATAATAATAATAATAATATTGGATATTTTTAAAGCGCACATATTCACCAAGCACGGTGCTCAAGGCGCTCCGATATTACCTCGGCTGGGTTAGGCTACTGATTTTGATGCTCATTTCGGTACCCATGTAACACCTGGGTGGAGAGTGGCAAATGTACATAAATGTCTTGCCAAAGGACATTAGCACTGTGCAGGACTCCAAGTGATCCACATTCATTATTATTATCATCGTTATTATTTTATTGTAATTATAATTTATTGTTGATGTTGTTATCTTTTATTATTTGAGCAATGCTGATCAACGAACCTGCAGAAATGTTGGAACTTGGAAAGCAGTCAATGATTTGAGAGAGGTGGATAGGAGAATGGGGTTTTCAAAATGACCTCCCCATCCCCCATCTGATTAATGTAGATCTTGATCTTGATGGATAGAGTTAAAGTGGGACTGCACTACTTGTACTTAATTGCGCCATCTATATAGCCAACAATGCCTAAGCGTTACCTGTTGGTCCCTCATGGTCCCCTTTTTCTTATGTTAATTGTCTGGTGTCAATAGTATATCTGATTAATTTGATTGATTTGATTTCGATCTATTCCTCTTTAGAATGATATCATATTTGTCATTGATTTTGCAGTAATGGAATGAGCAGTACATCAGAATGAGGGGCAGGGTCAAAAGTGAAGAATTGCTAAATGAACAGGTAAGCACTTGTATTGTTATGCAGTGCACTATTACGGAAGAAGAATGCCCAGCCGAGCAAGAGCAGAGTGTTTTGCAACTTTCCACGTTTGACTTTGCCCCTTATTCTGATGTACATGTAATGCCCATCCCATGACTGAAAAATCTTAAAAAACGGTGTATCATGTTAAAGAGGAATAAACACACTAGTCTTTCTTATTATACTAAACAAAGCTAAACTGAACTGGGTCACAACATGGCATATATTCTTTTGTTTTGTGCTTACTCAACAAAGCAGTAGTCGCCATATTGTGTCCAACTCGAACAGGGTTGGCCAAACTCTGTGTATAGATGGCTTTGATACTGGTTATTGTACAGCGCCGTCTCATGTATAACTCAATACATAATTCCCCCTGAGCAGAGAGAGGACTCGCTGCGAGGACCACCAGCGCAAATGGGGAAGCAGCAAATTTCGGGACCAAACTGCTACAGCTGACCTGAGATGGCCTAGAGGGGATAGTGCTTCTAGTACAGTATGGCTAATCATTCATCAAACATCTCATGCACTCTGCATGCTCCAACAAGCCTGTCTACACCACAAACCAAGGAGTAATGCTAAGGTCACAAACGTTCGTACGAACGATAATTTTGTACAAATCTCCGTTTTTCCATTGTCTTCCCGAATTTGCATTGTCTGAAAATCGTTCGTAAGGCGTTCGTAGCAGTTCGTAATGGCATTTGTGACCGAGGCTTTAGACATACTAGGCTTTAGACATACTTTAAACACTATACACACAACCCCAATATATAAAATTATATAAAATGGGAAAGAAAGAAATGGGCAGTGATAGATGGGTGGCCCTTTAAGATCTGGCTTATATGTGACATTTCGCTTTATCTCTCCTAAATTGTAAAACTGTAACAAGTATAACATTTATTTGTTATTTGTTTTCCTTTTTTCTTATACATGTATGTGGTGAAATATACTAAAATATTTGTTGTTCAATTTATTTTAGTCAATATATCATTCATGCCTTGGGGGAAAACACTCAGAGAGCTCACATTCAGGCCAATGGTCTTTCATTAGAGGTGAAAATAATACATTGCAAGTAAAGCAGTATAGTAGGAATGTCCCTGAAAAGGACTACTCTTCAAATACTCTAATATTCCAAATGTGAAAAGTGATCTAGCTGACAACGTTTGGACCCAACTTTATTGCAACTTGTGTGAGGGCAGTCCCACATACCTATTTCTGTGCGCAGTGCATGTGCTTTTGGGCTAATATTGATTCAATTTCTTTTTATGCTGATCATTCCCAAACCTCATAGTATACGTCTCTTCCTACACCTGTATGTACAGTAATATAGAATTAACCTTTCCCACTTCACTTGTTTCAAGATGTTTCCTTTTACAATTGAATTGCTCGACCAGGGGGGCGTTTCACAAAAACTTGTCATCAGTGACAAATGACAAGTTGTGTTATAAGCTACTGAAATCCTTGCTTCTGATCGGATATCAGCAGATTTGTCACTGATCTTTGTTATTTGTCATTGAAAAAAGGCTTTGTGAAACGCCCCCTTGTACTCAACTTTATCTTTACAGTCGATGTAAAGGCCCAATTTTTTTTGCATATTTCAAAATCTATTCTAAATATCTTGGTACTTACATCATCGGCATTCTTCATCTCTGACCCCGACGAGGGCGGGGTCACGCTGCGACCCGTGTGGGCGTGGGGCTGGATCGGATGGATGGTTGTCGTGGTGATGGGCTGGGCATGGGAGCCTGGAATAGGAACGGGCGTGGTGCTTTTGACCGGGACTGGACCTATGCAGACAAAAAAATTACAACGGCAGTGTCAGAAACAATTTGTTTTTCTTCACAGGAACTCTTTCTTTTCTCCTTCCAAATGACTTTTTTGAATTCGACATGTATGTTACCCTCTCAGTCCGCATAACTTCTGTTACATACGCATTATGTAGTGATTATATACAAGCAAATGGATTTTTGATGCACTAAATATGATTAGTATTTTATGGTAGTTCCTCATCCTTTCATAATATAGATTTGCATGTAATATCTGTATATGTTTTTGTACATGTATGTGTTATTGTTTAATTAAAAAAACTATTGTATTTTTATATTGTAATTTTAAGCAGGGGATGATCCCCGATAAACCTCTGTGGTTTTTGATCACCCCCTCTGCAGGTTCATCTTTTGTCGTAATGCTTTTATATTTTATTGTAATTTACACTGTCTTTTATAAATCTGTGGAAATAAATGAAATGAAATAAATAAATCATACAGGATTGAATGCTAAGTCGAAAGGCTCGTTCAGATAAACTGCAAGCAACAAAGTTCCTAGGCCTATTCACTGAGCTCTTTGTTATAAGATACAGAAATTTGAAGCATATTACACTTTGTCATCATTAACAAAATACAATGCAGCAGATTTATTCTGCATATCTGACCAAGGCTTAAGAAGCGTTGGTTTCAAACCTATCAGAATGTGTGAAATAAATTATGTTTTTCAATATACACAAGACTATATCATTGTTATTACTTCCGGAGCCTATGACCTACAAGCGTTGCTTTCTCTTTAGGCTCCATCATATTTCTTCCTTTATACAACTTAGTCTTATGTATTATTCTTTTTGTTTTTATAAACACATCCTAAAATTAGTACAAAATGTAACATGCCAAATGTAATGATGTACTATACAACATGTGAAATATGAAAATAAACTGAAACTGAAACTGAAAATAGAATAAAATAAATGAAAGAGCCTTCAATCATTTAATCAAACTGTACAATATTTGTACTCCCTACATCTGCTCCATTGATAACATCTTGGGACTCAAATTCCTACATGTAGCTTTCACCCTAGACAAATGCATGACTAACCCTGAGGCTAACCTCAAACCCAACTTAAGATCTATCAAACCTTTGATGAAATAAAAGTTTGGAGCAAATTTGGATTACTGACAGTACAACTAAAAACTTACGCACATTATCATCAATATTACATGTTGCTATGTTGGGCAAGCCATTTTGTTTGCCCTACCTAGCAACAACTGAAGTATGCCATTCACATTCTGACTATTGAGGTTCAATTATTCGTCAAGGATGATTGAAATAATGTTCATCGAGGCACAAAAACATTTGCATTAATAATAATAATAATATGCAGCTTTTATATAGCGCTTAATACATCTCGGACGTCTATAAGCGCTTTACAGATATACTATTACCCCGGTCATTGGATTCAGTGCTTGCCTAAAACACTGTGTGCATAATCTCCACTCTCTGGGGAGCATTCCAGCCAGGCGTGACTTGACGTGCAAAAACTGTTTGACCAACAATGACGGTTGCATCCTACTATGTACCCATTTTAACACCTGGGTGGAGAGTAGCAAGTGTAGGTTAATATCTTGCCAAATGATATTAGTGCCGTGTCAGGATTCAAACCCTTGACTATCTCCAGTCAAGCACCTTAAACCACTCGACCACAACACTATAAAAATGGTCTATACGTAATATGTTCAGGTTTTTAATAAATCGAGATTGTTCCCGACACACAGAGGACGACGAGGGCCTACCGTCGCCATTGAGCGTGGGCATCTTAGGGAAGAGGCATTGGGGTAGCTCATCGGGGAGTGGAATGTTGTGTTTTCTGAGGACTACCAGGTGCATGGCTGTACAGAACTCCTCCAGGGAAAGTGTTCCGTCTTTGTTGACGTCAGAGAGTTGCCTGGAGTAACAATGAAATGAAAAGGTGGATTAGGACACATCATCATGATAAAGCTTATAATGAAGAACTTCTCCTCGTAGAAAGTTGCCTGAAATAATAAGGAGTATCCATATGTTAATGTAAACCCCTCTAAAAAGCTTGGGAAACTCAAGTTGGTACATGAGGTGGCACAATCAGTTCCTCTAATTAAGCGAGAAGAAGACATACATAAATATAGTTAAACCCGCTTTAGTGACCACCTGTCTACAAAGACCACATTTTTTGTTTCCCTTGAAAATGTTTCTCATTGAAACATGTACTATCACAAGGAACCTGTACATCAAGATCACCTGCCTATAAAGACCACTTTTCTTGTCTCCCTTGGGTGGTCTTTATAGAGGCCACATTTGTTGTTTCCCTTGAAAATGGTTTCTCATTGAAACATGTACTATCAAAAGGAACCTGTACATCAAGATCGCCTTGCCTATAAAGACCACTTTTCTTGTCTCCTGTGGGTGGTCTTTATAGACAGGTTGCAATGTATAAGCATGGGGAGGGGAGACCCCGCCGAAAAACTAGTGGGAAAAGAAGGGGAGAAGTGACGTGACTTGGTAAAAAATGTTTCTCCAGCCATGTACACCGACACACAAGAGTAGTGTCGCATTGGTTACAGGTCATGGCCAGGAGAGGTTAATATTCCAAAGATCAATTTTCAAGACAAGGTGAGAATGCCATGTCAAGATACTCAACACTCTGGATTCAAATCAAGGAAGAAATGTTTACAATTCAGAAGATAGAAAAAAAAATAGTATAGCAATATCAATCATAATAACTTCACAGCTTAAATAGTGTAAACAGGTCACAACCCTGTAGGAATTTCATTTGTCATGTATTATATATTTGAAAGGTGTTGTAACATCATCGTCTTTGTGTGTTCATTCTTTAAACTGAGTAATAGTTGCAACTTGTCTTTGATAAAACATTGGAAGAAATAAAAATCAGTAAAAAAAAAAAATTTAAATAAAAAAGCTGTGCCAATGCTGTGCTAATTATCATCCAATGTATACTCTACAACAGATGTCATATTTACCAGATTTTGGAGAGTTCTTCCGTTGCAAGCTTAGATTTCTCAAAGAATCCTTTCGCATCTCCACCTAAAAATGAGAAAAGCAAATAGAATGCCATAAGCTATACTGATAAATATAAAAGTTAAACTGATTTTTTTTTGCAGAATCAGAAACTGGTTAGATCGTCATTCTCTGTGCTCGTTAAAACTCAATACCATCACCTTGGTGTTTCAAGAATCTACTGCAGTCATTACCATTTATAAGATGATGAAGCAGATCCTAATCAAATGATTGGTTAAGAGCGTATATGTGACCAGGCATTTATTTTGCCTAATATACAATTTTACTAATGACCAGTCAATAGTAAAATCATGTTATAAAACATAATTTTATAAAACAAATAAAATATTATCTTATGAGACAAATAATACACATCATTTTGTTTGGGCATTAGTAAAATTACCCAAACAAGGTACCTTTGGAACAGTCCAACACGACCAAGGCGATATAATGCCCTTACTGATGTGTATTATTTGTATACTAATCCCCCACCCTCTTTTCCACCAATACAAGACCACCCCCGACCCCACCCCCCCCCCCCCCCCCCCCCCCCCTCCACACCAATTCAAGCTAAGCCCTTTTAATTGACATGGTAAAAGCCCATGGGGTCAGGTTGGAGCATCTTAAGCTGGTTTGAGGAGTACTCTCTCTGCTTTTTGTTGGTACTAAAAAAGTCTACTAAACTCATCATCATTCCTACCACCCCCTCTCCTGATCCCCTTTCAAGACTAGCCCGTTTGGTTTACCCTTTAGAAACCTTCCATTGGATCAGACTGTGGCATCTTAAACTGCTTGGAGTAGTACTCTCTCTGCTCTGGACATCAACTAAACATGTGACAACCACACGCTCCCTTTCCTAGGGAGTGTTTCACAAAGACTAAGATCGACTTCAAGTTGGACTTAACTATGGCAGGCTGTTCATGCCACTTTTTGCTCTCACCATTATGATCTTTAGACAATCTTTTTTCCTTCAATAATATATTATCAAAAAATGTAAATTCTGTAGATTTGTGACGATGGTCTGTCTGTACGACCCTTGAGAGACTAATGCCAGTAAATGGTGAGAGCAAACAGTGGCATGAACGGCCTGCCACAGTTAAGTCCAACTTAAAGTCGATCTTAGTCTTTGGGAAACACCCACCTGACCCCTTATCCTAGCCTTATTCAGGATCAGCCCTATTAAATTTACCTGGTAGTAGCCCCACTGGGTCGGGCTGCAGCATCTTAAACTGGTTGGAGTAGTACTCTCTGCTTCAGACATCTACTAAACATATCAACATACTACTCTTAGCTAGTTGTCTCTGCTCTAGACATCTACTTAACATGTGACGACCACACGCCCCCTATCCCGACCTCTCATCCTACTCCCGTTCAAGATCAGCCCCCTTTGATTTACCTGGTAGTAGCCCCACTGGGTCGGGCTGCAGCATCTTAAACTGGTTCGAGTAGTACTCTCTCTGCTCTTTGTTGATGCTCCATACATCCTCCTCCTCCATGTCCGCACCTCCTTTTCCCACCTCCTCCTCTTCCTCTTCGTCATCCTCCTCATCCTCCTCCTCCTCTTCATCCTCCTCCTCCTCTTCTTCCTCCGCATCCCCCTCCTGGCTGTCAGCCACCCCACTCCTGCTGTCGATGGGCGACTCGGAGGTGTGATGGGAGGATTCGGGGGCCGAGATGGACGAGCAACTGGACGAGGGGCTGACCGCACCTGTGTACATTGCCCATGACGTATCCGGCCCTTCATCTACTGAAATAATAATGATAATGATAATGACAGACCTGCCAACCTTGTGCGACCAAAAAAAAGGAACCATGAAGGCATTAAAAAAGGAATTTCAAGCAAAAAAAAGGAGTTCATTAAAAATGAAGCTAACAACCACGCGCCACACACTTCCAATGCAGAAATGTCCATTCCTCATGCTGTTTTTTCCATGTTAGGACCTATAGTTTATTTACAAGTAGGTATTTTTTGTTTTGTTATTTTGGTATTATAGGCGTTTCATTCTTTTTGAGAAGATTTTTCTCTTCCAGTATGTTTTCAACATAGTTTTTTATTGAATTTGTGATCAAATCAACAATTTAGGGCAGTTGTTTGACGTGAGGTATGTAAAAAACGTATAAAAAATGAATAATTCTGGGAAAAACGTAATGGTTGGCAGCTCTGAATGATAATGACGCTTTACATTTATATTGCACAATATCTGCCCAAGAGGAAACTCAAGGTGCCAACAAAATATGGATATCACCCTGCCTTTAGCCTACCTGCCCTAAGGCACTGAAAGCATTCAGGGAATTACTTCCTTGCAGGTACCCATTTACTACACCAGGGTGGAGAGTGGCAGATGAAGATTGATGTCTTGCCAAACAACAAAAGCTACATGTATTTGCGCTAAATGCGCTATATAAATTCATTATCATTATAATTATTATTATCATTATTGAAATACTGCACTCCCTATATATTTATCTTCTTTATTTTGCTTGATTGGATATAATCTTTGAATTAAATTGAATTTAAAGAAAAACCACCAACCTTCTTCTTCTTCATCCACCACCTTCTCAAATGATGCCCAGCCCTCTTCTGTCTTTGACAATGTTGGAGCGGGAGGTGCGCTAGTCTGTTTCTCCAGCCTCTTTGCTGTTGGGGCATCCGTCTCTTCTGCATCCAGAACCATGCTGGCCGGTAGGCTTTGGTTCCGCTCTAAGCTGCCCGAGGTCCTGCCTGGCGAGACTACCGGCAGGGGGGTGAACGAAGGAGAACTCGGGGTAGGCGACACGGGAGGTGATGACGGAGCCTGGAACCAAAACAATATTGAACTAAATGTATTTGAACCATTAAAAATTTATTGACACTTATTCAAATCATAAAACAGATGATTTCCTTCCTGAACGAATCTTTAATAAAAACAAATGTACATTAGTTTCATGATCAATAAGTGTTAAGAAGCATCCCCAAAGAGGAGGGCGAGTACTGAAAATCAGATCGCAATAATAACATTTATTGACACTAATTAAATCATAAAACAAATAATTTTCCATCCTACCATGAGTTGGAAAAAAAATATATAACTTGCAGGGCTTTAATTTGAGAACTCACGAGTGTTCCAAATTCAAGGTCCCTGTTTCCTTCCTTCACCAATATATGGATGTAGAAGTTGTTAAACATTGGACATAGCTTTGCATTTTGATATAATACATGTTGTTGAACTAAAGCCAAAGAAGTGTACAAACTACAAAGTTAAAACGAAACAGATTAAAAGTGCACATACATGTAAATGTACGTATATTGATTACAACTATCATAACTTCCTTATCGTTTGTCCGATTTCGTTCAAACTTTCACCATTCTGCTTCTCAGATTTTTCAGCATTCTTTTAGAGTATTTATAGAACTTGTCAGTTTAGGTTTGATTTCCCTTTAAAAGAAAATTTGGGTTTGAAACTTCTGTAAAGGGCGTTTTCCTACTTTCACACAATCAGTATTGGACTACAATGTCAATTATTTTCTGTGCACACAATTGAGTCGAGAGACAAGCTTAAACCTAGGCCTATCACCATTAGTGATGTTAAAGCTAAAGACCAGTTATGGTCATGCGATTGCATTGTGAAAGAAACGTTGCGAAATCGATCAGAAAAGGTTGATCATCTAGCATAGATGTACTGCAAGGTTCTGGAATCATCAAAATGATAAGAAATTTGGCCAAGTGTTCATAAAGTTAGAAGCACTGTACACAGAAAGATGTATATGGGACTACACACACGTGCGCGACACCTGCATTTGTATCTCTCAACAGGCAAGAGATACACTAATTTACCAAATATATCAATTAGTAGGCGGTTTCCCGTCAAAATATTTATCGTCATGTAATATTCAAAACATGTTCTTACACATGATTGGTAATAAGAGCTTCCATTTCATTTTTTTGAAATTGGGGCGTTTCCTATACTGGTCTTTACCTTTAACACATTCAAAGCCGATATTGTGCTTTCAACCTTCTTTTTTTCTTCTTCAGTGCAACTCATCCCCCCTCCCCCTGCTCCTTTCATCTTTTCTTCAATCATTTCCTGATGGGGGGAGGGGTGAAGGAGTTGGTCCAGGTGTACCGGTACCTTTTTTTTTCTTGTCCCTTCCCCTTTCTCTTCCTCACTTCCCTTTCTTGTTTTTTCTTTCTTTTATTTTGTTTCTTTCTTTCACCACTAACGGGGGGGGGGGGGGGGGGGGGGGGGCTACGACATTGATTGTACAATGATCTGCTGTCCGGGACGTTAGTTAGTGATTAAGTATATCTTATGACACACACTGTAGATAACATGTACCTGAATAATGTTGGTAGGAGATGAATTGGGCTGGACGAATGCTGCATTACTGTTGTCCGGTCTCGTAGGTTTGAGGGGTGGCACGCTGGCAAGAGTACTGCCTTTCCTGAATTCACATCAAAGAATGGGAGAAGAATAACAGAAGACGGGTAAGAATTGAAGATTGATTGATTAAAAGGGTATTTAATTTATGAAAAAACATGGCAGCCCGACAGCTAAATTAAGTTGGATGTAAATTTGTACATACATGTACATCATGCAAAGCAATATATATACTGTACATGTAGAGCAGAGACGCCAAGGTCAAAGATCGGTAATGCATGACATTTTAATGATTCGGCGCGCAAGCGAGGGTATAGCACACGTGTAAGGTATAGCATTTTTCAAAATCTAGCACACGCGTCGTGCATAAGAGCATTTTCAGACCCTCAAAATGCGTGATGTCACGCCTAATGCTTGATACTTGGTAGCTCTGGTAGAGGTGTCGTGGTCTAGTGGATACGTCACCGGACTGTGGATCACATGATTAGCAGTTCAAGTCCCCCAGCGTCACTTAAGTCCTTCGGCAAGAGGTTTATTAATTTACGGTGTACATTTTCCATTTTCGACCCCAGGTGTAGGTAAATTTGGCATGTGTGTTCTTGTAAAATGGCACCCGGCCAAAATACTTCCCAGGGAGCAAAGCGTGTGCACTATCATGTGGGGATTAGCAAGTGAGTCCAATGACTCGGGTAATAACAATTACAATCTACAGCGCTTACAAAAATACATTATTAAAAGCTATGCAAATGTGGCGATCATTATTACGTCATATTTAACAGGATTTTAAATATGGACTCCTTCAAACTAGAGGACATCTCAGAACTCTGGAAAATTGCAATGTACCTTTAGCAACAAATTTATTCATATCCTCACCAAGTTTTGTCATTTTCAAGTATGTGAATAATAAATTTTTCCCCATTCATTTTTCTCGAGAATGTGTCATATCAAAGCTTACATATCTAACAGTATTCAACAAATACCCCAATTCAACCATTCCACCCTTTCATTCTCGAGTTACAAAAAAACACAAAAATGCATCAAATTTACAAGGGGTATGAATAATTGAGTTGTTAACTGTACATGTACATGCAGTGCCTTTAAACTTGAACCTTAGTTCATGTACAATCCTTCAATCCGGGCTCCCATGTTCCAGAAAAAAAGAGAAATAAAAGAGAGCACGATGATGCTAGCGGGGACAGTGATGGTTCATTTAATTGCGACCCTGGGCCTATCTTATCTTGGCCAACATTCCCGGCTCAAATCAGTGTTCATAACAACATGGGATGAGCAGGCAATCAATAAAGGCCTGTTTTCATCGGCTCGAGATTGCCAAATATCTCGCTATTTGAACTATCCCGATCGCAAATTATCTAGTTAATTTGCTTCTTCAGCCCGAAGTTGAATTATCAAGATATTTAGTCGAGATAATCAACCCAAGACATCTTGGGCTTGTTTGCAAAATATCCCGCCATTTGTCCGGTGCGTCTTCACCAACCCGAAGACTCGCACTATGCGCGAACGCTGAGCAAGATATCTCGAGCTAATTTCTTGAGCTCGAGTTTCAAGGTTCGAGGTCAAGTCTTAAGTCTCGAGCTGATGAAGACGCGATTTGTAACTTCAGGATTATTTCCCAAATCAGGAATAGCAGGCTATTTGGCAATCTCGAGCTGATGAAAACAGGCCTAGTATGAACCGGGAGCTCTCGATCACGCAAGGCGCCCAGCGATGGGTATGAGGTGTCACGCGTAAGCTCATTCCTATGCTCTGCCTATGCGAGGCGGCCTGCATGTGGTTAAGTGCACTGCTGCTCCTCATGTGAACATGTACAGATAAACAACTAATTTATTCACACCCCTTGTAAATTTGACATTTTGGGGTGTTTTTCGTAACTCAAGAATGACAGGTTGAACTCGTTGAATACTCTTAGATGCAAGCTTTAATATGTGATATTCCTAAGAAACGTAAATCAGTACAAATCAATTTTTCACATACTTAAAAAAATACAAAACCTGGCAAGGGTATGAATAATTTAGTTGTTAACTGTACATGTACAGTACATGTACATGTATGTAGAAATTATACAAATATACAACATGAAAATACATAAAAATTCTTTTAAAATGGGTCCTATAAAAATCGCTCTAGTGGTTTATAAATGTATTGTTCCCTACACTAACCATGTTCCACCTTCAACCATGGACCCAACACTTGACCTATAGATGCAACCCTGACCTAAAACCCAATCAAAACACTAACCCTACTCCTACATCTACAACTATATCTTGACTTGTTATCAATTGACATCTCTTGAAGATGTATTTTCAGAGTAATATTCTCTGGGGAAACAAACTAAGTCGATTAAAGTCCTTAATCCTAACACTTATACATATTTTTTCCCAGTTGCCCCTTGTGCCACTTAGGCATGATTTTTAATTAGAACAGGTACCGTAAATCTCCGTGTATAAGGCACACTTTTTTGCCACCGAAAAAAATTGAAAGTCGGGGGTGCGCCTTATGCACAGGTACAGATTTTTTTTTTTTTTTTTTTTTATGGTTTCGATTTATGGCGCTATGCCTGGCAATGTCTCCCAGCTCAGTAATCAGTGTGTTGACTCACCACTCGGAAACTACAACAACACTAAAATTTGTCTGTCATCTTGGTTTGAAAGTAATCTTTCTAATAGATCTCAATATGTAGTTTATAATAATAATTCCTCAATTTTTGTTATATAACAAATGGTGTACCACAAGGTTCTATCCTAGGACCTAGGTACTCTATCGTTTTTAATTTATATTAATGATCCTACACATTCTTCTAAAAACGACATTGTTACTATTATTTGTGACAAGTTTACAAGCACAAATCAGCGCCTTTAGCTGCACCTCGATGTTAAATGAAGGTCCTTCCCCGTGTGGGTTTCGGCAACAAAACAACAACAAAACAATTTTTTTTTTTTTTTAATTTTATTTTTGTCCTCCCCAAAATAGGGGTGCGCCTTATAAACAGAGATTTACGGTACTACATGTACATGTACATGTAGGTTGCCCTGCAGGAGTTAGGGTGGTCGCTGGCATTTTTTCTGCTACTTTCAAGCCCTGCCCTATGAGATATGCCCTACGTACAGTACATGTATATCTAAGCTGAAAGTGGGTTGCCAGAGTAAGGAAGTTTCAAAAATAGCCCAAGCAAATGATCCATGATTCATTGGGAGTCAATATTAAAGGGAAGAATCAAATATTCACAGACAGCCACAAAGATTTTTTTTTTTATTTCCACGTAAGTTTAGCTTTGCAACCCAATGATGCTATTCGTCTTTTTGATATGCACAGCTTTAAAGAGTGGCTACATGCACATTAAGATGTAATGCATATCTTTACTATTAAATAAACCAATACATTAAATCAAATCAAATCAAATGAATGTCATGAATGTTATTAAGGGCAAAATCCATTATTACTGATGTTGGCCTTTAAATGATTGCAATACTTGGAATAAATAGTACCCCAAAATAGGCCCCACTATATACATGTAAACCGATCAGTGTCTCCAAATAAACAAAATGTAGAGCACACTAAGGTAATCTTATGTTACCTCTATTCCATTTTCTTGTGTCACTTTTCATTGGGAATAGGGGAGGGGTGCAGTTAACTGTGTTGAGTATGACTATGAAGGATGACGAAGGCTAATAAAATGTTTGTTCAGATATGGCATGGTAAACTGCCGCATTAAAGCTGTTTTTTTTTTAAACCTGTAAATGCATGGCAACTGCACGCAACAAAGGACTTACATGTAGACCAAATCACAAAAATAATGTGTTTCTTGTCAGGACTTTGAAAAAAAGGAGGAGGCAGCACATTACTATTTTGCAATTTTTTGCAATTTTTTCCAAGATGGCTGCCATGCAGATTATAGCTGGTCAAGCCTATTTATTCACAGATATTGTGCTGTGTGTGAGTATACTGTGACAAAACAAATGTATCCCTTTAAAAGCTATTTAAACGAAATGTAAATCACAGGCTTTTTTTTTTTTTTTTTTTTAAGGGGGGGGGGGGGGGGCTTTTTCTTTCTGAATAGTAAAATAGTATATTAAAAAAAGGAGGTGGCGGCCAAAAAGGAGGTGTGCGGGGACAAGAAACACTTAATTTTTTTATTTGGCAATACACGTATTCACTGAGCTCTGTGTTTATAAGATTTTATAAGATGCAGAATGGGTTTTTTTTGTTTAACTCTGCGCTTTTGCCACGTCATATCTTACAGCGTGTCCACACACAAAAAATTGTATCCCGAAACTCTATAAAGAAACGTCGTATTAAGAATAATCATATAAATTCCAGGGTGGCCACACACAAGAAACGTCGAATAAAGAATCGAATTCCAGGGCATCAGCACAAACCATGAAGTAATCCTGAAACTCTACAGTGAAACGTCGCATAAGTTCGCAGTTTGCTACTGCGGTCATTAAACAAAAGCGGAAATGAGAGGTCAGGGGGGCGTTTCATGAAACAATTAGTGAGTGGTTTTCACGACTAATATCATGTTCACCGACAATTCTTTTGTCACCTCCTATTTTCCAGGCCTGTGATTGGTCAAATTTAGTCAGCGCGACTAAATTGTCGGTGAACATGATATTAGTCGGTGAAAACTACCGACTCATTGTTGCGTTTCATGAAACAATTAGTCTGTGGTTTTCACCGACTAATATCATTTTCACCGACTATTTTCCAGGCCTCTGATTGGTCAAATTTAGTCAGTGCTGACTATTGTTGGTGAAAATGATATTAGTCGGTGAAAACGACTGACTAATTGTTTCATGAAACGCCCCCCTGGTCTCCTTTCGCACGCGGTCATGTTTAGCCCCGCCCAGTTACCGTATTTTCCGGCGTAAAGGCCGCAGTATTTTCGGGTGAGAAAAAATCAAAAAGTCGGGGTGCGGCGTATACGCAACAACAACAAAATTCAGCGGTCAAAACATCACGTCCATTTGCACGTATGGGACTATAGGAACGGTAGCATGACTAGACAACGGTACAGGACAATTCTAGAATAACTCCACACAACTTACCGACAATTTTATGTTGCATAGTTGACATGAAGACGAAAAAACTTATTTTTCTAATAAAATCTGCCGATAGATCTAGATCTAAGTCCGTACCATTGCATCGCCAAAAAGTAAACAAAGGGACAGGCTGTTACTTACGGAGCTAGCTGCCGCGCAACGCAACTGCGCAGGTCGAAAAATGCTATTTCGGATTACACCGCACATCGAGGAAGGGGTATTGTAGGATACCAAATCTGCGTACGATACAGTACTAGCTTAAAAGTCGATGAAGATCTGCTAAATTATGATCATTTTTGAGGTTAACTTCTTGTTGATTTATAAGAATATTGATGAATTTGGTATAGTTTGTAAAAAAAAAAGAGTGTTCTACAAGAAAATTACGATCATTTTGTTTGGTCCGTTTTTTTTTTTCTCTCTCTTTTTTTTTTTTTTTTTTTTTTTCCTCTACGAAATGTCAAAGTTGGGGGTGCGGCCTATACGGCGGTGCGGCCTTTACGCCGGCAAATACGGTATACCGTTCTAGTTTGACCAGTTATACTAGTTACGTCCACACACAACACATTCCGTGATTACACATGATTCTTTGTTGAGTTCTAGTTCGAAACGATGCCCAAACCCGCGTTTCGTTATACGACGTTTCATTATATACATTTCGTTATATGACGTATTGTTAGTAAGCGTCTACACACACAATTTCATGATATAACTATCCCGAAGCGGTATAACTATAGCGTTTCAGGATAGTTATACGATGAATTTGGTGGGTGTGGACACGGGGTTAGACGTACCTGTCCACGAGAGTGAACTCTGTATCTGCAATGTTGAAGGCTGGATTGACAAACTCCATCTGACTGTTAGGATCTGATAGATAGACAAATAAAAATACTCTTTGAGTCATCCACAAAATCAGATTGCATTTTATTGGGGTCACTTTAGTTTGTACTTGTAAGCATACATGTACAGTCAACAACTAAATTATACATACTTGAGAGAGAAAGGTGGACTGGTTTAATTAGGGCCTTTGTTGAATACTTTTAGATGTACATGTAAAAGCTTTGATATGTCACATTCTCAAGAAACATTTATAGGGACAAATCTATTTTTCACATACTTAAAAAATTACAAAACTTGGTGTTCGGGTATGAATAATTTAGGTGCTGACTGTATAAAAATGAATGTACCGGTAGTTAACTACATGTAGTTTATCCACTTTACACTGAAGACCGTTTCAGGATTCACTCCAGTACACAAATATCTGCTACCCATCTTTAATAAGCATGTTGTTAAAACGCCCTCCTGGCTACATGTATGAGCGGAAAATATAGGTAGGTGTTCATTGCATCAAGTATGAACATACCGTACGAACATGTCCATGTACCTACATGTATGGACAGATGCTATGTCACAATAAAGAAAATATTTTTAAAATTTGGCAAGTAAAGAATTGAAATGCTTCACAAAAAGATATTTCCGAAACCTGACAGAAATTTTTACTATAAATAATTGGTATTGCTAAAAATATGCTAGAGGTGGACTCTTAGGAAAAGGGAAAAGAAATGTGTCATTGGTGCCTTTGGTGCATTAGAAAATTTAAAAAATACAGGTTTCATGGAGGCCTCTTGCACACTCAGGCAAGTCACTGTCATACAGTGTACACTGTGTTGAATATCCTGCACAATATACACTGTACAGCTACATGTACATGTACATACATTGTATATATCAGTATGTTTCAGTTAAAGCACAACTTACACTTTATAATCATAGACAATTAATGTGGATACTTCACTATAACCTTAAAGTGGATACTAATGTGATGCAAAAACATTAATGTTTTGGACTATACTCAATATAAATTCGATTTGCCTTTCAATAACCAAGTTCAAACTCATAATGACCAGAGTGGTATCGGAGTGTACTCAAGACCTCCTCGTAATTGTAGCATCATTAATGCCTGGGGTTCTATAGATGTCAAGGGGACAGTCCTGACATTGCAGAGAAGTTATTTTAAAAAAGGTGAGATTCAATACATCTGTAGGAGATCTACAATGTAAAATAAGCAGTCAATATCTCCCATCCCTTCCCTTCTATCCCACTCCTCTCCACACCCCCCACTTCCCCTGCCTTCTGCCATAGAAGGTACTTGTATACATGTAGTACACCCCACCCACCAAAGCTTACAATAATCTGTGGTTCAATCCCCACTCAATGTTTACTGTCGAATGCTTTTGTTGAAGTTCTTATGTATGTAAGAGAGGATACAAAATTAGAAGTCTGCTTCGGAAAATAAAACGAGTTTTAAATAATAAATGATTCTGTGAAACATCTGAAACTTAAAATTTTCATGAGAGGAAATTCATTTTGTTTTATGACAGGATTGATTTTGTTTTTATTTCATTCATGTTGTTCTATTTCAGGAGAGGATTTATTTTTAAATGATGAAAAATCATAGCTGAGAAGGAAAAAAAGAGTATTTTGGTTTTAAGACATACATTGTATCATAGGGGAAATCTTACAACCCATATATTTATAAAAAACTTATATAGCAGTTGAAAAGTCCATTTCATTTTCATGCGAAACCTTCACAAATTATCAAGAAAAAATGGAGATGCCCATGTCAAGCTGAAAAACATTACACTAAAAGGCCTGTCCTCATCAGCTCGAGTTTGCCAAATAACCTGCAAGTTTAACTATCCCGATCGCAAATTAACCAGTTAATTTGTGGCTTCATCAGCCCGCAGTTGCAATTAGCGGGATATTTGGTCCAGAAAATATCCTGAGAGATCTTAGTTTTGTGTCCAAATTATCCCGCTTTTGGGGAAAAAGCGGGCTAATTTGTGCCCGTCTGAGCTAGTTTGTGATGAGCATATTGGTCTGGTCACTCTGGTGAAAATGCAATTTCGAAACTTCGGGATAATATCCTGAGACTGAGTCTGAAAATGTTATTTGGCAAACTCAAGCTGATGAAAACAGGTCTTAAGAATATCTTGCTTTTAATATACACCTGTACCTCCCTCCATACACTCTAGTGGGGAAGGTCAAGGATACAATAATTCTCTCAGAACAACCGTTTATTTCTAGGGGGACCTTTCAAGGTGAGGTTGACTTTAACTTTCCTGTCTTTTTTTAAGCCTCTTCTTCCTTGGGGCACTTCTAAAAATATATCATGGATAGGCATATTATTATACTTGTAGGTCCTCTAAAAAGAAAACAGCCTCCTGAGTATTTAAATACATTTTGAAAAATTGGCATAAATGTGTTGAAACAAATGAGAAAGTTGTAAGGCACTACAGTGACATTACTGATTAAAGATAAAGTTGAGTTCTGGTATAAATGCGATTGCATTGTGAAAGAAGAGGTGTTCATGTAGAGTGGATCAGAAAAAAGTTGATCATGTACAGTGTAGCATTTAAGTATTGGTGTGCACTGTAAGGTTCTGGGGTCATCAAAAACATAATAAATTTGGCCCAGTCTTGGTAAAGTAACAAGCACTGTACACAGAAAGATGTATATGGGACTACCCAAATGTGTTGGGGGCTACCATACCTTGATTTCCTCATCTTTCTATGCTCATTACTCAGACAGTATACATTTTCTTCCAAAATTGTTGGGCACATGACATTTATTTGTACTCTTGATAATTCAGTGTAAGTTTTGTTTGATTCTGTGAGAATTCATTTTCTTTTTTTTTACCAGAACTCAAGTTTATCTTTAAGCCAATTTGTAGTTTGCTATTTACATGTAAGGTGGGATTTCCCTTTAAAGTCATCCTATGCTTGCTATAATGACAGTGAATCAAAAGGAGAGAGAGGGATAGGGGATAATTGATGACATTGTCCAATCAGTATGGTTCAAATGCATTTAATTCCACAAAAAGTTGGTGTATATCTTGAATTCAACAATTTGTCAAACTTCTAGTACTCACCTGTTTCACTTTTTTTTCTTGGAGGAGGGGTAACTTCATCACCAAACTCTGGCAGAGGAACTTCTATTCTAGCTGGAAAATGAAGATGGATAAATAAAGAAAAGAAACATGAGTACAGCTGTATATGCCTGATTACCTAAGCTGAGATTCAACTCGCAAGACAGGATATCGTTGCGCGTCTGAAGCCAATCCGTCTCCAACTTCCCATATACATCATACAATATACACGCTCCGGGCTCACTGTCAAATTAGCATCCAGTATAGGGCGTAATTTTGCTTCCAATAATTAGGTTTTGACACTTCAGCTGCCTAGGGGTGCACATTGTACATCTTCCCGATAGGCCTGTTCTCATCAGCTCGAGATTGCCAAATATCCCGCTATTTGAACTATCCCGATCGCAAATTACCCAGTTAAGTTGCGTCTTCATCAGCCCGGCCCGAGGTTGCAATTAGCGGGATATCTGGTCGAGTTAATCATCCCAAGATATCTGGGACTAGTTTGCAAGATATATCCCGCTATTGGTCCGGTGTGTTTTCATTAGCCCGAAAACTCGCACTACAGGTTGTTTGCACGAACGCTGAGCAAAATATCTCAAGCTCATTTCTCGAGATCGAGTTTCAAGTTTTGAGGTCAAGTCTGGAGGTGATCATGAAGACGCGATTTCTAACTTCTGGATTATTACCCAAATCAGAAATAGCGGGCTATTTGGCAATCTCAAGCTGATGAGAACAGACCTTATGATGAGCTTGGCATGAAGAGTGTACAACCTAAGTCACAGAAAATTATAATGTCGGCTCTGCAAATGATCGATGGATCTATTAATGCATTCTAAATCAAAAGTAACTTCACTGCACAAGTACATGTACCTATGAAATATATAATCTAAACAGATCACAGTATATCCGAGGCTGAAGAAATGCTGTGACAGCTGTAACAAGTAGTAAACGTGTCATCTTTAAATAAACAAATATGTAGAATGTTTACCTAACTCATGTACATTATACATGGAAATCAAAAGTAACTTCACCACACAGGTATCGAGAATCTAAACACATCCTTATTAAAGCGAGATATCACACAGTGTATCGGAGGCTGCGGAATAGCAGTGACAGCTGTAACATGTAGTATCACAACGTGTAATCTTAAACAAATCTGTAGTATGTTTACATATTCCTTATAAATGTGTACATGAATGCATCAATCAATATAGGGATACCGGTCGATTTCAACCATTGAACCTGAAAAGAGACTCAAGCATATTGGAGTCCCATACGTACATGTACATGTACATGTAGTCATACGTAGTCCACACGTAAACACAGAGGTGTTTGGGCCTCAAATCGGGCCATGGCCTTTCAATTGAATTATTCCTACCCTTACCAAGTTTTGAAATTTTGTAAGAATGTGAGAAATAGATTTGTTCAGATTTACGTTTCTCTACATGTACACCTACAGGTATGGTACTTGAAATGCATCAGAAGTCTACTGTTTATTAAAATGATAAGTCTCAATGTTTTTTAAATCAAATGTAAATCACTTTTCTTTCTGAAGGCTCTACATGATTTACATGGACGTCACATGACAGTACAACGTCCATTCAATTGAGCATAACACATAAACACAGCACAGACACTCTGTTATTTGCAGTGTACTACAGTACATGTACATGTCTGTCCCAAAATTACATGTACATGTATGTATTCAAGCCTGGCTTTTGACAAGATCGTTAGGGACCATCCTTTAATCCATTTCTTAGAGTTAGAGCGGTGTGTAATCTCTGCAGCTGAAAATAGGCAGGGAGTTGTGTGAGGGGAGGAAATGCATAACCTTGGCCTTAATATACCACAGAGCCCTTGCCCAATGCCCAACCCCTTCCACTAATTATGCGTAATGGTGTGCACTCACAAATCATTGACCTTCAATGATACGTATTAATTTTGTTGAGATTTATCATTGAATTTTGAATTCTATTGCAAAGAAAAAGACGTTAGGACATAACGGAACATTATTGTAATTGTTTTGTATCAGTGTGTGCATTGTAGTGTTTGTACAGTGTACATGAACAGCACTTGCTTTAAAGGACAATCCAACCCTTGAAATGAGACAAATCAGAAAATTATAACAGTGACAGTTTGAAATTAATCGTACCAATAATAAGAAATTTATGAATGTTTTAAATGATATTAATGTTCCGCTTTTATATAGCGCTAATAATACAAATGTCTCTAACTCTAAAGCGTTTTAAATACTATCACCCCGGTCATTGGATTCAATACTTGCACACAGTGTGCACAATCTCCACTCCCTGGGGAGCATTTCAGCCAGCCGTAACTGGAAACTCAAAAACTAATTGACCAACAATAAGGCTGTGCACAACCGTGTAATGAGGTACCCGAGTACACTCCCAGGCTTACAAGCGAATATTCGGACGCCATGTTTTTTATAATTTTTTTGAAGTTTTTGAAGTTTTTGAATTTTTTGAATTTTTTTGATTTTTTTGATTTTTTGCCATACCATACCACTGGAGCAATATCCCAGGTCCGTCGCCGAAAAACGCATGCAATTTTACTTCGAGTTGCAGTTGAAGGCGCCGATTTAATAATAACAATAACAGTAAACAATGCTCTCCCTGGCGCAGGTAAGCGTCGACATGGACAGTGCCAGGTGACCGGGAATTTTTTTTTTTTTTTTTTTGCGGCCGAATATTCGAGTACGAGAAATCGTACTTGAGTAGTTGTCAACAGTGCGGGTACTCGAGCATTCAACGATTCGTCGCAGCCCTAACCAACAATGACGGTCGCATCCTACTGGTACCCATTTTACACCTGGGTGGGGAGTAGCAAGTGCAGGTTAATATCTTGCCGAAGGATATTATTGCTGTGTCGGGATTAGAACCCTCGACCTTCGCATCTCTATTCGAGTGCCTTTAACCACTCTGCCACGACACTCCTACACTGTAGATCTATTACTAAATCTTACACTGTAAATCTATGCGAATCTTAAATTGGCAGTTTGTGAATTCATGAATGACCCATGCAGGAGGGTATTCTCTTTGGAGCTTGCATGTACAGGTATAGTATACAAATAATACACAGCAGTGAGGGCATTAGTAAGAATTACCCACACAAAGTACCTTTGGAACAGTCTAACATGCCCGAAGCGATAGCCGAGGGTGTTTGGACTGTTTTGAAGGTACAGAGTGTGGGTAATTTTACTAATGCTCGAATAAAATGATGTGTATTATTTGTTTTATAAGTAGTTTTATTTGTTTTATAAGATTATTTTTTATTTGTTTTATAAAATTATGTTTTATAAAATTATTTTTTATAACATGATTTGACTAATGACCGGTCATTACCATTGGATAATTACGCGTTAGGCAAAATAAATGCCTGGTCACGTGTACATGTACACTCTCAACCAATCATTTGATTAGGATCCCCATCATCATCTTATAATATTCATTAATATATTTTGAGAAGTGCCCCAAGGAATGCTCAAGACACCCAACAAAATAACAAACATTTGAAGAAAATTACATAACATTCAGATAACAATGTGTATGAATAAGAAAAAAATTATGGGTATTAAGTGAAAGATTTTAATTTGACATACATGTACTGGGCTTTTGAGTTTCTTTGGAATGATTTTAGAGTAGATGAGATTCACATTGAGTGGGGAAGGGAGTCCCAAAGTCGGTGAGCAGTAGCAGTGAATGTTCTGTCGCCAACAGGCCCAACTCCTATTTGGCAATATCACATGCCTGACTTAAAAATAACAAATTTTATAGATATTTAACATAATTGTGTATGTACAGTATGATTAGGTTCATACATGTACATGAACAAAAACCAATAAAAACACAGAAAAAAATCAATATCCCACATATTCTACTATTGAATTAGCACACCTATTATTATATAAATTAATTTGCATGAAGTGCGTACAACTTATAATCTAATTATTTAGTACAATGTGCAATTCAATTAAATTATCATACTACATGTAAAATTGAGAAGGCTTTGTACATACTGTACATGTAGATTGATCATCAGTATGTATAAAGTAGGGTATACTGGGCAATCAATGTCACTGTGCTAATTATAATTTTGTTATATCCTCAATTTCATATTTTTATTTTCTCTTTTATTTTTTTTAACATTGATGCAGTGTAGGATGTTTCTTGCTGATAATTTATATTCACAATCATTTTTTTGTACGATGTCAAGGTAACATATAGGTTTCCTTTAAGTTTAAAAATTCTTTTTTCTTTTTTCAGCTTTACTCATAACAAATAGAGAAAGAGAAGAGTTAACTTCCATTAACCTTGTGTCTACTGTACATGTATTTTTTTCTTTGACTGGCCGTCCACATCTTACTTTATTGTGCAAAATAAAACATTTTTCCAGAAATTCATCATTCAGAAACATATCTTTGACTTGCGCAGGCAGGTACTCAGAAACATATCTTTGACTTGCGCAGGTACTTTTCCACTTCATAAACAGGTTAAAGCAATTACTGTAACTAAAAAAAATCTTATTACGTAGAAATAATAACATCATATATGCATTTGAAATATGTACTTCAATTTGATCTCTTACCTTGCATTACAAAATCCACAGAACTGGGGAGTGGAAGACCATTCTGTACCATCGCGATCATCTTGAGTGCACAATAAAACTGACTCCTGCCATAGTAACCCAACCGCCCGGCTCCACAAAGCTCGTTAATCTGCACAGAAATGGATGGAATCAAACAGATTTTATTGACAGGTTTAAGAGAAGCCTCTGAATGAAATGAATAATAGATTTAATTTGTTAGTCTGGCTCCAATGATGTGGGAATATTTTGAAGTGTTTTATAGATGCCTTGTTTTATGAGAAAGTCCAAAGTACATGTACAAATAGTTATGTTACTGAGCATTATTAAACTGTGTTAATATAAAATAACATAAATATATTGTTTTATTTGATGATTTGTCTAATTCAAGCTTCAGTAGAGCTAACAGATTGATACAGTCATCACTCATCAGATACTGAAATCTTATACATTAACATGTACACTGTATGCAGTCTGAAATGTGTCGGACAAAATAGTCTGGACTTGCCACTTACATTAAACACTATCATACAAATAGAATGCTATTTAATAGAGATTGATGCAATTTGAGTTGGAGTGATAATAACAACATTCAAAAGATACAACATTTTCAGATACAATGAATTTACTGCATAGTGCTTAATCGTTTGTTCATACCCCTGCCTTTGAACTCAATCAAAAGTACCAACTTTAATAAAACATGGTACATTATACACTATATTCTGCAATACATACACAGTGCACCAAGAAAACCAATCCATGTCTTTGTTCATTCAGATTAATTTTTTTTTAAAGCAATTGAAAGAAAGATGCTAACAAGTATCTAAATAACAATTAGGGTGGTATTATGAAAATTAATTATCTTTCATGTTTAATACATGTATGTAGTAAAGCAAATTTTGTGTTAATGTTTAATATGGCTACCACATGTGATAGACATTCAAGGTATAAAGGCTGTGCACAACAGTGTAATGAGGTGCCCGAGTACACTCCCAGGCTTACAAGCGAATACTTGAATATTCGGACGCCATTTTTTTAAATAATTTTTTTGATTTTTGATTTTTGATTTTTTTTTTTGGGGGGGGGGGTTGATTTTTATTTTTTTATTTTTTGCCACCACCTTACCACTGGAGCAGTATCCCAGGTAAACAATGCTGTTTTAAAAACCAAAGATGGCAGAATAATCCATTTTCCTCACAGTCCAAACAGATGAGCGGACATTTGGTCCCAGTTTCTGAGTGGTGAGTATGACAGTGCTTCAGTTGGGAAACATTTTTACCGACGGTACCATGCCAGCGGGCGCCGCTCTCCCTGGCACGGGTAAGCGTCGGCCTGGACAGTGCCAGGTGACCAGAATTTTTTTTTTTTTTTTGCGGCCGAATATTTGAGTACGAGAAGTCGTACTCGAGTAGTTGTCAACAGTGCGGGTACTCGAGCATTCGACTACTCGTTGCAGCCCTAATTCAAGGAATTCCTTCCTACCAGGTAGTATTAACTTCACCTGGGTGGAGAGTGGCAAATCTAACAAAAAACAAGACTGCTCCAGAGAACTCTGAATGTAGTTTGCAAGGGTCGTCTTGTGCGGGAATGTGTGTGATAACATTCACATTTTTGTTTTTGTTTAAAAGGCTGTAATTAAGCAATTACATCCATCAGGCATCAGGTTCAGGAAGGTGGAAGTTGGTCTAGCGGTACATTTACTAGGTCAGCTCTCTGTCTTCACCTTCAAACTGGCTCAGGTAGAACCCCAGTTCATAATCGAATCATTTTGGTTGACCCAAGATGTAAATAATTCATATCTGATTGATACACATCTGTAAAGACCCAATTGCACACAAAAATACATCATCATCAAAATCATCATGCAGTGAACTAGGACCTACACTGTAGACCAAAAGCTTAGACTTGCTAGGAGTCTGCTTGGAGGAATGTGTGTGATTACGTTCACATTTGTTTTGTTAGCATGGATGTAATTAGGCTATTACATCCTTCAGGCATCAGGAAGGTGCGAAATGGTCATTTACTAGGTCAGCTCTCTGTCTTCACCTTCAAACTGGCTCAGGAACCCCAGTTCATAATCGAGTCATTTTGGTTGACACAAGATGTAATTAATCATATCTGATTGATTCAAATAGATCTGTAAAGACCCAATTAGTCAATTACACACACACACAGTACTGTACAGTTGTATGTACATCAATATCAAAATCATCAAGCAGTTAACTACAGTGTAAGCTAAAAGCTATAGTCTCTGATAAGTGATCATGCAGCCTTTTCACACACAAGTAAAATTCTCTAAAGCTGATTAGATTAAAGCGCTTTAAACTAGTCGGCTTTCCATACGACATCATTCAGTTGCACACACAGAAATTTTAGTGCGATCGTTAGTCGTTTCGTGATTTATTACTGCTCTTAAAATGCACAGTAGTGCCATTGCGCATTGAAGGTCATGTCCTATCAAACAAAGTGCCCGCTCCATCCAGTCTAAACACGTATAACCGTTCACACACAAAATGTCAAGTTCTCTAGATACGAACTTCGAATCTATACGAACATCGTATAAACGATGTTCACACAGGGAAAATTTTCTTTAAAGCTGTTTAAAACTGTTGAGTTAAGCAGCATTAAACTAATCAGCTCTAGATGTGATGAATTTTAGCTGTGTGTGTAAAGGCTGATGGTGATATTGATGGTTGTTCTGGCTTCTGCCAAACTATATCTGGCTCCACTAACCAATCTATACAAAGATGATCAGGGCTCAAATTAATTTTTTGCCCACGAGGGCTCTTCCAAAAAAAAAGAGCCCCCATAAGCCTTCTCACGGGGGCGCTTTTAGTGCTGACGGGGGCTCTTATTTTAATACAAATTTCCATTGAATTGGTACCCGTGAAACTCCTTGGTATTTTATCATTATCATTTATCTAAGTCAGTATTTTTCCTCTTAGAAATTTACTTGTTACATAGCTGTTATTGACTTTTATCCCCGTGAGGACATTTTCTCCATTTCTTCCCGTTCTGCACATAATTTCCTCCTCATTATTCGGAGCAACCTTATTTACATTCTTTCTTTACTTTTAGTCTTTTCCAAAACACAGGGGCGGATCAAGCTTTTTGCTAGGGGGGGGGGTACCCAAAATACGATGTGGAGCATCGTCCACGAGCCGCGTAGCGATTTTTGTTGTTGCTATTTTGAACCCCCGTTAGTGATGTTTTCCTGGCATCTACTGACATCTACTAATACTGTGTAGGTCCGGACACATGATAGCATTTTTCTGTGCACATCACATTTTTTCCTTGGCAGCCTAAGGGGGAGGGGGGGGGGGTTAATCTCCCTAAACCGCCTAGATCCGCCCCTGCAACATCTTATGCCTTCTTCTTCTTCTCAATATTGATTTACTGGTCGGGTTACATTATTTGCTGGTTTTAAGAATAACCAGATTTCAGAGGATTCAAACTTTCACAACGAAAAACTTCTCCATGTTTCAGTCCTTGCGCGATTGTCGATCTCCAGCTCCAGCAGATATTGGGCGTCAGCGTGCACACCGATACTACCAGCGCAGTATAGCCACTGTGCTGACGGCCGCACCGTGAGCTTCCGTTGTTTATATCGGGAATACTCGTAGAGATGGTAGAGAAAGCGCCATCTAAGTTCCATTTCATTAGTTTAAGGTTTGAAAATTAATACTCAATATTGTGTTAAAGTTATAATTCCACGGGGGCGATTTTTAATTTTGCAATCGCCCCCGTGAGCAACCTGACGGGGCGATTATGGAGCTCACGGGAGCGAATCGCCCACCGCCCCCGTGTATTTTGAGCGCTGAAGATGATCCTCGTTTATGAAGACGATCATTATTCTCAAACCAGCGCCCCCACTGCATGAATGAAATGCTACTGTACAACAAAACTACAAGTTGTTTTTTTCACTCCTTACTTTAAGTCTAGACTAGATCTAGACCTAGAGTAAAGGAGGGGTTTTTTTTTTATCATTTAAGACAAAATCCTATTTTTGGGACTCTTTACTTCCTATTTATTATCATTACTTGTTTAAATCATTAAGCAAATATTATTATTATTTAAACAAAAAAAGAATTCCAGAAAAAAATCACGAATTGCCATGACAATTTTCATTTCAATTTTCACTGTTTTGGAGGCAGTTATCGACATAGCGAGCCAGTTTTCAACCGCACGTACAGAGTCAATAGGAAGCGCGCGCACGCGCTGATCTATAGCACTAGCGGGCGGAGCAGGTATCCCACGCCGGAGCTCCCCGGTTCTCGCCAGGTCGAAAACTAGCACTGCATTGATCGGAAATTGGAATCTGAATTAGACAGAGATATCGTGTGTGCGTTGCGGTGTCCATCTGCATTGATTTATTCCATGCGACGAGACACTTTTGAGCTTGCGACTCGCACAAAATCTGGCTCTTAATCTGAAAAATACTTGAAATAAGGCTCATTTTATGGAACCCATATTTCTTACAGACACGCGTAAGATACTTGATTTTTCAGATTCGGGTAGCGGGACCGCCGATTACATCGCTAAAATGTGATATTTTAGGATATATTTTCCGTTGCAAATGTGGTTCTTCAGTGACTCTGGCATGGTATAGTATGTGTGGGATATGTGATATGCTATTATGCGATGTATTTTAGAGTGATTTTACCATGCATCCAACCAATCGGCCGAAAACTGGAGATGGTCGATTACCCCCTCCTTTACTCTGTCTCTAGAGTCTAGATCTAGGCCTAGTACATGATTACATCATTCATAATCATATACATTTTTGTTGCTATATTTTGGACGCTTAGTCTAGTCAGTTATTTATGTCATTTTCTATTTTGTTTTATTGATTATTCAGTAGGCCTAGACTCTAGTCTAGTGCAGTGCCATGAGTGACAGAACCGTCGATTTTTAAAAATAAAACTTTTAAAACTAAAAAAAGTTTTAACTCAGCTCAGTTTACTCATTCGTGACATCAAAATACCACAGCAAAACAAGAAACTGAAAACAAGAAAGTTAATAAAGGAATAGATATGATTATCATTAATTATTGTAATAATTATTATCAATAACCATTAGAATTAGATCTATACACACCTTCTGAATTACGTCGCCGGAGAGCTGCGGACTCAACTTGAATAAACTCATCGCACGCTGGGCCGGAACTCGGCCGGAGCTTTCCTTGTCTGATCTGCTGAAGAGCTCGGGGTAATACTGCTGCTCTGCTGGACTCAAGAATGAACCCTCCATGACTGATAATAGGTGTCGAGATTAGGATAAAAAGAATTTGCAATCAATAGACGAGCTCAAAATCTGTCAAACTTAGTGAAAATGTAACTAAATGCTGGGAATAGATGGGTAATCACACCCTCCTTTTCGCTCCTTTCGCATCGCTGATGGCAGCCATATTGTTAGTGACGTCAGGAGAGTTCCCGGATGAGTCATAGACCCCATTCATCCTCCATGTTCATACTACGTGTACTACGAAAAAATACTCGCATCATGTTTCGTGCCCCATTTTACTCAGTCTCACTTTTTTGTCTTACTCAGATCTAAGGACTTCGACTAAGACACTAATGATTTTTAAAAAATAAAGTAGAGGTGTCGATAACAATCCATAATACCCCTGGATGCTCATTTGACTATAATCAAACGCCTAAAACCCCTGAGCTTCAGGGGGCTCGATCTGCATGCATGCCCCTCAGGGCGGCGCCGGGCCCCTGACCTGGATGCTCAACTGACCGTGAATGCCTAAAACCCAGGGAGGGCGATCCCCGCCCCCCCCCCCCCACACACTCAGTGTTATTTAGGGTACGCATATGCTCGTTCCCTATTTTTGAAAGCACCCCCTATCTGAGGACTGCCAACATTTCCGAACCCCCCTTTCGCGGGCTTTTCCTGCCTTGGAGACCCCCCTAAATCAGGAAAAATGCTCAATGTACCCCCCTAAATTCTGAATAACTTCTCAGGAGTCCAAAGAGATGAGAGAAAAAAAGGAAAAACACCCCCTTTTTAAAGAAATCTCCGGGTGAAAAGTCAAATACAACCCTTTTTTTTACAATTCTCGGGCCGGACTTTGTCGCACGAAAAGCACCCCTTTACCGGATATTTTGGCAACACGCATGCGGTCATTCCGACCCATGAATGGGGGGGGGGGGGCCGAGGGGCGATCCCCCTGGCGGATCGTCCCCCATCAAGTTGAAAAGGGCCAACAAAAATGTATAGCAAATACTGACTAAATACTGCAACTCACTTTTAGGCTCTGGAGGGCCCAAGAGTGCAGTGTTTAGACAAATAAAAATGCAAAAATCTTCTCACTCGGGAGCTACGCTCCCTCGCATAATATCCTTTAAAATGTACAAGTAAATACCGAGAAAAGTGAAGTGTGAAAAAAGTATATTACTTGTTTGTATACTATAGTTTTGCTAAAACTTCAAAAACCTGTGAGGGGGTAGTTACTTCCGCCACCTTCACCCGTCTCATTCACTATTGCTCCCTCGCACTCGGGGGGGGGGGGGGGCTTTGGGGGGCAGTTTACCCCAAAAGAAATTCAAACGTGGTTTATTTCTATTTCGATACCAGTGATTTACAAATGTTGCTGAAATGGTATGATATTTCCCTGAACTTCAGGGGCTCTGCCCCCTGGACCCCACCAAGGACCCGAAGGCGGGCCCCTGATTCCCGGTGGGGTCACTCCCCTGCAAAGAGTGACACGTATGACCGTTACCACCAATGCATATAACCCCCTTTTGCGGTCAATTTCAAGGACATTTTGTGAAATTTAACCCCCTTTTTTACGTCAAAACAAGGACAAAATCGTACTTTGGAATACCCCTATTTATAAGATTGTAAGGACACTTTCGCAAATTTACCCCTATTTTACCATATTTCAAGGACAAGACTCGGCTCCGAGAATTTTTCTTCCCCGTTTTCTCTTTTCCCTTCCCGGTTTTCTCTTTTCCCTTTTCCTGACCCCTATTTATCAATTTCGGGGACACATGTGCCCCCCTATTTTCTTAATTTCGAGGAATATTTTGTCCGCGGACATTGCTTGAAATTGACCCCTTTTTCCGCGATTTTGGTAACGGTCATGCGGTCCGGAAGTCACATTGAGTGACCCCACCGGGCCCTGATTGCTCATCTGACCGTAAATAAATGTCTAAAACTCATTAGCTTTCTTGAGCTCTGCCCTCTGCCACCCACTAAGGGCCTAAGGCAGTTCCCTGGATGATAATCTGACCGTCGTGTAATGCCTAAACCCCCTGAGCTTCATGGGGCTCAACCCCCTGGACCTCACGCCAATTAGTCATTTGCCAGTACGTGTCACAAATAAGGTATCAAAATATTTTATATGACCGTAATTAAGATGTCTAAAACCCCTGGGCTCCACACCTTGACCCCCCCCCCGGGAATTTGCCCCTGGACCCCATGCCAATTTATGTTCGATCCACTCGATCGTTTCGCTCGCTACGTTCTACCTGGTTGTAAATACTTAAGCCCCCCTCCCACTCCCCCCCCCCCCCCGAAAAAAAAAACGTTCCGCAGGGGCCTGCATGTAGTATATAAGAGTGGTGATGATGCGAATTTATTTTTCTCCCCCCCCCCCAATAATTTTAGAGCATACTCATTCATTGTAAACATTATCAGAGACCATGATCTTCAAGAGTTTATTTTTACGTGGTCCAAGGCACTGCTTCACGAAGCACCATATTTTGCAGTAGTTTGGATGGTCTAATAATTTAATCTGCTATCGAGCGACTTATTGTGAGGTATATTTTTATTAAATTTATTTCAAAAAATCCTGATGGGGTATTAAAGGGAATTGGTAACATTGTTCAGATGAGAGAAAGTGGTGCTAAGGTAGTGACTTCAACAAGATGTACAATTAAAGATAATCTGAAAGTTTGAGTGAAAACAAACCATTATTAATGATAGAAATTGGGAAGAACTGATCTGATCTAATCCTTAACCAACTATTTATTACAATTTAATTAAATGTGAATGTAAATCGTCAAAAAACAATGAATTGGCTCTTTATATCATTCTAGCCATTTAGAAAGATTTTTAAAAGCCTGTCTTATGTCTTTTTTTCATGGAAAAATGGTTGGGAGAATTTACTGTTAGAGGGTGTTGCACAGTGACGCCTTTTAAAGAAAACCATAGATATCTTTGTGGTTTGAGAATTGTTTTCAGGATTTGTTGCATCTTAGAGGGGTAGTACGGTAGAAGGAATATAATAAGGAACATTTCATAAACAATATTATGCAATTTTTTCATCAACCTTCAACAATGTTACCGAGTAACTTTAAGCAAAATCTCGCGAGAGAACCTTTATTTATTATGTGAGCGAACGTAGCGAACTAGTGTTTGTAGACATTTGACAAGTCTAAGAAAACTCCCGTATTTCAAATTTCAAAATCTTGTCAACGGGTTTGCGGGCCCATGCACACTGGTTTGCACGGAAAAAAAATATTGTACCCAAAAAAAACTAGCTCTGTTTGAACCGGTATTTCGCCCTCTCTCGGGTGAAATTATGTTAACCTAAACCAGGTCGGATTCTGAAAGAGGAAGAACGGTCACTTCTAAACATACCAGAAACATAAACAACTGTACACAAGAATTAAACTAAATAAAAAAGATAGCAAAACCGGGAGTGAACAGAAATAACCCCCCAACCCTTCTCCAATATACATGCATTATATACATGTATAAATAATAAATAAAACAAGTGCCAAAATCCTTGAGACATCTCTTCCGTGACCAAACTAGTGCAGATAGCAGAGGCGGCGATTTTTCATGACCGGGGGAGGGGGGGGGGGGGGTCCAGGGGGCAGAGCCCACGGAAGCTCAGGGAATAATCATGCCATTTCAGCAACATTTGTAAATCAATGGTATCGAATTAGAAATAAAACACGATTGAATTTTATTTAGGGGGAACTGCCCCAAGCCCCTCCCCCTATCAGTATCAGTACGCAAGTGCGAGGGAAAATAGTAAATGAGAGGGGTGAAGGTGACAAAAGTACCCCCTCACAGGTTTTTGTTGTATTAAAAAATTACATTCCTTAGCAAAACTATAGTATAAAACAAGCAATAACTTGTTTCACACTTCACTTTTCTCGGTATTTACTTGTTCATTTTGAAGGATATTATGCGAGGGAGCGTAGCTTCCGAGTGAGAAGATTTTTTTGCATTTTTAATTGTCTAAACGCTGCACTCTTGGGCCATCCAGAGCCTAGAAGTGTGTTGCAGTCTTTAGTCAGTATTTGCTATACATTTTGTTTTGCACTTTTTCAAATTTTGAGGGGGACGCCCCCCCCCCGGATCGCCGCCCCTGGCAGATAGGCTTTAATAGACCAGTTCACGGTTAGCACATTACTGCAATGACCCCGAATATCCACAGATCTTCAAAACATGAAGAGGTCCCACTTTGTACATTTTAAAATAATCATTCCTACAGCGATGGAGGTGCTAAATAAATAGCCTTTGTTTCCCCTTTTTAAAGAATACTTCCTCCTGTGTACCACGGAGTGCACTGCTTGTGCATAAATGAATAATGATTACATAACTTTCATTAGCATGTATCCAGTATTTCGTCTTCGTGTTTTTCAAAATTTGTTTTGCAATGACCTTTATCTGCTCATGCTCAGACTGCAACCGTGAACTGGCTTATATTATGTCCGAACTGTTCAACTACTGCAGGATCTAGGCCGAATTTATTATTCAACCTCTGCATCCACGAGATTCTGTTTACAGAAGAAGACAAAAATGTACTGCTATCTTTGCTTAGAGGTGTACCTACCCCATTGCCCCTGAATATGTTATCTTCCTTGCTACCTTCTCTCAGTCGGTCTACGTTCAGACTTTGTTCAAATAAAAATACAACAGCTATTCAAGTGCCTATACATTCAAAGATAGGAGAGCAAAGTTTCACGACAGTGGCCCGGTAATATGGAATATAATTATTACCACGTAAATTACGAACTTCACTTCTGTTGAATCATTCAAAAAGTATCTCTAAACGCATACATTGTAGTTCATTGTGTTGTAGGATTTGTAGAATTTTTTCTAAGTGTTCATATCTTTGTTAATTTATTATGTAATGCGCTTCATTATCATTATTAGTATTAGTTGTTTGATGATAGTTCGAGGGGGTGTGTCCAACTTGTGTTAGTGTACGATCACGTGCTAACGGTTCTCTCGCTATATCAGGTGACCACGACGCTCACATGACACCGATAAAAGTGGGCGTGAACACGAAACGTGACTGTATTGCCCAATGAAGGTTCAAGAATGTGTATCAAAGTAGTATCCAATACAGCTGCTTAAAATGTGGATTTTCAACAGAAATATGATAAGGATCGTCTGAACGTATTGATCTTTTTAAGAAATGAGTGCTAGTAAATTGCAAGTGGAATATATACTGGACCTTTTAACATTGAGATTGCCTGTACATACTGTAACCTGTGGATCTAATTCTTGTCGAAAACGTCTCCGCTTCTTTCACTTTTCAACTCCTTCTCTCTCTCTCTCTCTCTCTCTCCCTCTCTCTCTATCTCTCTCTCTCTCTCTCTCTCTCCCCTCTCTTTCTCTCTTTCTCTCTCGAGTCCCGCCTGCCCCTCCCTCTCTTCATTTTTCTCTCTCCTCTCTCTCTCCACCTAGACCTACCTATTTCACACTATCCATCCTCTCTTTATTTTTTTTCTTCTTCTTCTTCTTTTCTCCTGCTTCTTCTTCTTCTTTTATTCCTTCTTCTTCCAAACCGTTCACTCGTTGACTTCCAAACTCGCCCCCTTCTGTGTGTCTTTATCTCCCCCTCCCCCCCCCCCCCAGTACCTCTTCTAAAATCATTCTCCATCTTATCCCGGGCTTAACCCCACTTCCCTGTCCTGTATGTTTCCCCTCCATATCGAAGGGAAAGATCTTCCTAAAAGTTTGCTTGATCCATGACGGATGTAAACAAATCAAACTCATACAAACAAACGCCACTGTCAATATAAAAGCGCCATTAAATATGAGTACTTTGGAATATTGACTTAGTTTCGCTACGTATTCATAGCTCAAATACTACACAATGTAGCATGCACTACTACGGTCAGGAAAATGACTGCACTCGTATTTTATACAGTTACTAATAATATGCGCATGTATGCAGTTCTGGAAACTAAAAATACAATTACTGTGTGCATTGTTGCGTGATATACCAATATAATCTGTCATTGATCCGCAAGTACCTTGATTTCTCGTTATCTAGTGTCCATACCACGGGTCCTACCGTCAACAAACGAATCAAAGCTTAACATAGTGCATTTGATATATCTAGCAAATGCTGCTCCTGTAATGTTTTGAACGTCATGTGCTTCATGTTGTAGGTTAAATCTTCTTCAGGAAAACTGCTCTGGAAATATTGTGACAGAACAACAACAAAATGGAAACTATGATGCAGAGATGGAGTTGTATCTTGGTAGTGGCTTTGATGGTTCTTGTATCAGATTCTAGAGGCCATATCTGCATAATAACTCCACGGCAAAGAGGGGCATTCGATATATCTACGGTATGTATACATGCAGGTCTATATACCACGCATGGTCATTGCCTCTGAATGTTGATGCTCAACGATTCTAACATATAATATCTTGTGGAAATAGTATTCCATGTCTTATACTCCATCGTTGCACTTGAAATCGGTGAAGGTAACACCAGGGTCTCTCGAAGTTGTTTGGTAACACACATTAATGTCGTACACACCATCCGTTGCTTTGTGAATTAAAAAACACCGTAAACAAGGTATAATGACGTGCCTGGGGGTGGGGGTGGTTAAGTATAGATGTGTCGTGGTCGAGTGGATATGTCATCGGACTGTGGATCACAAGGTCCGCGGTTCAAATCCCGCCGCGGTACTAATGTCCTTTGGCAAGACAGTTGACCTACATTTGCCACTCTCCACCCAGGTGTTAAATGGGTACCCGGTAGGATGCGAAAGTTAATGTTGGAGTAGCATGTGGCGCTTGTAAAATGGCGACTGGCTGGAATGCTCCCCAGGGAGTGGAAAATGTGCATACATTGTGTTGCGGGTAAGCCTGAATCCGATGACCAGGGTAATGTACGTGCTGCGCCTAGAAACAAAGTATTAGGCGCATTATAAATGTGAGCTATTATTATTAAGTGAGGGGGGGGGTACGTATCATTAATTTGTATGTATCCTTTTGGCATGCACCCCCTTTCCTATATGCGACTAAAATTAACGGGTTGGAATAATTATTTTTGTTTTTAGCCCGCAAGTAGCTCCTGCTTCCGACACCAGAGTCCTTGCGGGGGTCAGGCTGCCGAGTCACCCAAGATGACGTACATGGGTGGGAAGACCGCCCTCATCAGGTTCCAACAGAACCTTAACCATTACGAAGTCGGCTTACCAGGTATGGATGTGATATTAGGGACTTTTAGATTTGCACGACGAGAACGTGGACTGCCCTTTTAAGGCAATGCGACGTCCTTTTAAGGCACTGGTAGTGACGTCACATTGTCGTCGTGCAGAATCTAAAAGTCCCTAATGTCGGCACCAGCAAAGTTGGGGGGGGGGGGGGGGGGTATAGGTGCATCGTCCAAAGGTGGTCGAGGAGAGCTAACTGCTCTAACCGGAATATAAACTTTTTAAATTTCTAAAATTAGACCAAGTGTAGTGAGCGAGCAAACATTTTACGCCTTTTCAGATTGATGGTGTTTTTTGCTATCAAATTAATAAAGAATTTAAATTGACTGCCTGAATATATACATGATTGTATGGATGCGATGATGCGATAATACTACTAGTGATGATAATAATGATAGTATAATAATAATGATATTATTCTTAATGATAATTATATTAATAGTAATACCAACAAAAAATGATTTAAAAAAAAATATGTCGTTCTTGTATACCAAATTATTATACGCTGTTGCTCATAAAGTTGGAATATTTTTTTTTACCCCAATTTATGGAATTATTTTGACAATGATTTATTCCTAATAGATCAAGACAATAGTCTACATTCTTTTGTTTTGTTTGTTTTGCGTGAGTGCTTAAGCATGTGTATGCTACTGAGCTTATCAACTAGGGGACCTACGCCCTTAAGTCATAAATGACAGTAATGAGGATTAATGCCTCACAAAAGGGCACTAATATAGCAAATCGACACGGTTTTGATCCTGGGGCCATACAGTTACGAGTCCATTGCTTTGCCACTGAACCATGACTGTACGCAGCGGGGGCTAGGGTAGGGGGCAGTTCCCACAAATAAAAAAACAAAACATAAGCAAATGCAATAAGTTATCAATAATTTATTGAATTTCCCCCCGGTCCCCAACAGAAAACAAAATCTTCCGTGTGTCCATGCTTTGAGCCATAATGCAGACGATTTTTTTTTTTATGAATCTGTGGAAATAAATGAAATGAAAATTGAAAATTATGTCATTTGTAAATGGCCACTGCAAACGAAAATCTGTTGACCACATTTTAGTGGTAATTTTCCATTAATTTCCAACGTTTAAAGTAATCATTTTTCTGTTCCTTATTGAGTATTAGAACTTGGAAGTGATATACATGCCATGTCATTATGATTTTACCGGACTTTGTTTTCTAGGTTATATGGATATTTCGCTGGCTCCCAACGTGAACTCCACGGATTTCGAAACACTCACTCTGCTCGGTGACACAAACGAACACTTACAATGGAATCAGCAAAACTACACGGTTCCAGTTGTGAGTTGTAATTACTCTTTCTCTATCAGCCCCGCCCCCCCCCCTCTCTCTCTCTCTCTCTCTCTCTCTTTCACCCCTCTCTTTCTCTCTCTTAATATATTTTACGATACTGAAATCAACAAGGAATTTAAACCGACGGAAATCGTAAAATCGATGGATAATATGTTTACAAGCACTTTGAGTAAATTTGATCAAGAACAAGCCTACCAATATATTCGACGGCGCATTAATGCATGACAAAAGGGGAGGGGAAAACCTGCCCAAGAATAAACTAAGTTATCTAGAGTAACTTGAGTACGAATTTATAAAACAAAGTATTACAAAAATGTCTTCTCGATCCAGATTTACACATTGATATAATGTCCCTATACAAACATTGCAATCAATACATTATCAGGGATGATATCCAATTTGTATTAAACTATTCCATTTGACATAATGTTCTTAAACAAAGGGCAATGAATTACCTCGTTTTTTAAATTTTGATTTGTTTAACTTTGTTTTCTATCTCTTCTTGCTTGTTATAATTTTTCTTCTTCTGAACCCTGGATCCGATCCGCCACTAAAATTACGTTTGCTGATTAGGGCCGGGAGTGACTTAGTTCTTCAATATAGAGTGCGGATAATCTAAATTCTTGGTTTTTCAACTTTTCACTTAGACTAGTGATAATTCATGCAAATAAAAATCTACTCTGTTTTCTTCTTTATCTCTTGTTCTGACCCCCCCCCCCCCTATCTCTCAAAATGATTCCCCTTGCCAACTGAAGGCCATGCCGAACATGTCATGTGACCACTGTGTTCTACGCATGCGCTATGTCAGCCACAAGCCAGGAGAGGAGGTATTTTACCAGTGTTCCGACATCGCCATCAAGGCTTCCAAGTCGACGTCGGTCTCCGAAGAGGTAACTGACTAGTCAATATCCCGAGAAGAAATAATTTGAAACACGTACCCGACAATAGACTGTACGCTGTAATACCCGACGCACACGAGGCGTCATTTATTGACGCATGACTGCGTCATTAGGGACTTTTAGATTCTGCACGACGAGAACGTGGACTGCCCTTTAAAGGGAATCTGACGTCACTGCAAGTGCCTTAAAAGGACGTAATATTGCCTTAAAAGGGCATCTACGTTCTCGTCGTGCAGAATCTAAAAGTACCTATTTATTGACGTAGGACTGCGTCAATGACGAGTTCCGAGACCTTAAACACGCTATGCAAAATTCTGAACAAAGAAAGTGCAAAAATGAAGATTGCAAACGATGCGTTGAATTAGTTCCGAATGTATTAATTGCTTTCAGAGGCTTGGTTAGCTAATGCCTCGGTCACACCTGTGCGTGTTTAGCTTGCGTATTGCTGCGTATTTATGGCAAGCCGTTTTAACATTTATTCCTATTTCTTGATATCAAGAAATGATTTTCCGTTGTAAAGCAATGGTAAATCTTGATATCTAGAAATAGGAATACAATTATTGTTAAAGCGGCTTGCCATAAATACGCAGCAATAATAATAATAATAATAATACAGCATTTATTATGCGTCATCGATCTAGTAAACTATTCTGAGGCGTAGAGGGATAGAATTATAATGAGATACATAGAGAAATGAGAAGGGGGAATTAAAGAAGAAAAATGCATAGATGTACATTCAACATATAATTAACTAAAATAACATGCGAACATATATGACTTTAGATTCTTTTTGAATGTTTCTAGGGATTCTAGTGCTCGGATCCTCAGTGGAAGAGCATTCCAAAGAGATGGCGCTGCAGAAATAAACGCCTTTTCTCCCAGACTAGACATAGTTCTTTGGACTGTTAACTGTTTAGTACCAGAAGAACGCAAGCAAGCCAAATACGCAAAGGTGTGACTAAGGCATTAGGACGTAATCGAAAGGGCGACTCGTGTGCATAATGCATAGGATAAAGGCGTACTCGTCGTAACGAACCTCAAGACAAAATTTGAACTCAGGCGTGTGTGCGATAATGCACCATATATTCCTACCGAAAATTATCAATGTTCTGAAACGCGATCGCAATTACTTTCAAAAAAATTAACTCAAGGGCAAAATCAATACCCTATTGTATATCATGGAGAATTCATGTGCGCATGACGTATTGCATCATTGTAATGTTCGCTAATTTCAGAGGGTGATGAACAGGGCTTTTGATAATGCCTTAAAGGGAAAGTCCACCCTGAAATTAAGTTAGTTTTAATAGGAGTAGAAAAATGAGAGAAACAAGTCAGTGAAAGTTTGAGCAAATTCCGATTAAAAATAAGGAAGTTAGGATTTTTGAAGTTGTGATCAATCAAACACAAATTGGCAACTGTATGACGTATCATCCGAGCTCAACTTCCATTTGCTCAGTACTAAAAAAATCTAAAATTTTCATTTTCCCTCAAGAAAAATTTCAACCATACATGCACCCTAAATATAATAATTGCAAATATGTTTCTATACTCCCCCTGCAAGGAACAAATATATATTCCGTCATCAATAACGAAGAAAACATGATTTTATGGAATATTATGCACAAAGCAAATGAAGGAGAGCTCGTATGATAAGTCACAGAGTTGCCAATTTGTATTTGATTGATCACAACTTCAATAATTCATAACTTTCTTATTTTCATTCAGAATTTGCTCAAACTTTCACTCACCTGATTTTCTTATTATTCTGCCTCTATCGAAACAAACTTATTTTGGGGGTGGACTTTCCCTTTAAGTTGATTTTGCGAAAGTGGTTGCGTTCGTGCTCTGAAAACATGAAGAAAGTCGGAAAACTTGTTTTTCATTCTTTCGCCTAACCTTCAGCCAGTAGCCTTTCTGATAAGTAGTCCTGTTAATCAAAACAATTTCAGAGCACTGCTACAACAATGAGAAGAAGAAGAAGAAGAAATAATAATAATGATAATAGGCATTTCTATAGCGCCGTCTATCTAAAAAAAAAATTCCGAGGCGCACTAATTATTACCCTGATTGATACAACAATCTAGCGCTTCATTTTATCTCTAGAGAAGATGATTCTTTACCTTAGCCAGTTTCTTTGTTTCCTTTATTATGTCTTATTATTCATCAGAATCTTGACAAAGACGTTCGCGAAACTATTCCAGTAAGTCTCAAGAGAGCCATGAGCTTGTACCGAAAACCCATCACCAAAATGGCCACCGTGAACGAAGTCCATGCCGCCGACGCCAGGCCGAAGGCGCCTTCGGGTTCGTTGTACGGTATCATGTGGGATCCATTGCAGACGACAGGGAGCAGATTGGTGAATATCGATTTCAATACTGGAGCGATCAATTCGAGATTGGGACTTTATTTCGGCATGGGGCCGAACGTGCAATACGGGACAGTGTCACCAACGTAAGTTCGAATGAAAGTGAATATATTGACTGACGATGTTTGATTAATTTTTAAAGTTTGAACACTCAGTTGATCAACATTTTGAACAACTTGTTTAAAATCACAATTTAAACAACCGGTGTTTAAAGACGGTTGTTTAAAAAGGAGCCGTTGTTCAGTGGGGGTTGTTTACACCAAGTGGGTTGTTTAAAGAAAGTTGTTTAAAAAGGAGCTGTTGTTCAGTGGGGGTTGTTTACACCAACTGGGTTGTTTAAAGAAAGTTGTTTAAAAAGGAGCCGTTGTTCAGTGGGGGTTGTTTACAACAAAAGGGTTGTATAATGGGGTATAATTTGGGTTTGATACTCTGAATAAGTACATCACTACTTCTGGGTCTCTATCTAGGTATATGAAGACTAAGTTTGACTAACAATATGGTTCGGTAATTCTGCAATTTATGAATTAGCGCCAAAACATGCACGCACGTATAAACTGCACATTGGGATGCATGCAATCTCTATGGCAAGGAATTTAGCACACGTTAATATAACCGAGTGCGCGATCAGTGCCGCACTGCATGACGCTACAATTTCAAGTCTACCTATATTCTGACATTTGCGTACAGATACTGAAAAATTTAACTGTGAACTTACGCTATAAGTTAAAAACTTCAAATTGGTAAATAGAAAAGTGATTTCAATCAAGCCATTGAATCTCCAGTCACTTAGAAGCGCGTCGGTAGCTTGGTCGGCCATGATGTGAAATAAAGCTTTCAGCCAACGTGCACTTTACTGGCACGTGACACATGGCGTCATATGTAAACAACACTGTCTAAAAGGTCTCGTATAAGTAAATATAGCAGTCATTAAATTTTAAACAGCGAATGTTTAACAAAATTACTTTTGTTTCGAGCAGCATTGTTTCCAATTTGTTCAACTGTTGTTTAAGATAGTGTAAAACTGTACACAGTTAAAATTTTTGTGAACAAGTTGTTTAAAAGTTTAAACAACTCTTGATTAACGGGTGACCTGATCTAAGAGTTGTTTAAAATGTTAAGCAACTCGAGTTGTTTAAAGTTTAAACACTTAGTTGATCAACATTTTGAACAACTTGTTTAAAATCACAATTTAAACAACTGGTGTTGTTTAAAGACGGTTGTTTAAAAAGGAGCTGTTGTTCAGTGGGGATTGTTTACACCAACTGGGTTGTTTAAAGAAAGTTGTTTAAAAAGGAGCTGTTGTTCAGTGGGGATTGTTTACACCAACTGGGTTGTTTAAAGAAAGTTGTTTAAAAAGGAGCTGTTGTTCAGTGGGGGTTGTTTACACCAACTGGGTTGTTTAAAGAAAGTTGTATAAAAAGGAGCTGTTGTTCAGTGGGGATTGTTTACACCAACTGGGTTGTTTAAAGAAAGTTGTTTAAAAAGGAGCTGTTGTTCAGTGGGGATTGTTTACACCAACTGGGTTGTTTAAAGAAAGTTGTTTAAAAAGGAGCTGTTGTTCAGTGGGGGTTGTTTACAACAAAAGGGTTGTATAATGGGGTATAATTTGGGTTTGATACTCTGAATAAGTGCACCACTACTTCTGGGTCTCTATATAGGTATATGAAGACTACAAGACTACAATATGGTAGGGTAATTCTGCAATTCATGAATTAGCGCCAAAACAGTGCCCATTTTGCATGAGCGCGCATGCACGCACGTATAAACTGCATATATAGGGATACATGCAATCTATATGGCAAGGAATTTAGCACACGTTATAAACGAGTGCGCGATCAGTGCCGCACTGCATGACGCGACGATTTTAAGTCTACCTTTATTCTGACATTTGCGTACAGATACTGAAAATTGTAACTGTGAACTTACGCTATAAGTTAAAAACTTCAAATTGGTTAATAGAAAAGTGATTTCAATCAAGCCATTGAATCTCCAGTCACTTAGAAGCGCGTCGGTAGCTTGGTCGGCCATGATGTGAAATAAAGCTTTCAGCCAACGTGCACTTTACTGGCACGTGACACATGGCGTCATATGTAAACAACACTGTCTAAAAGGTCTCGTATAAGTAAATATAGCAGTCATTAAATTTTAAACAGCGAATGTTTAACAAAATTACTTTTGTTTCGAGCAGCATTGTTTCCAATTTGTTCAACTGTTGTTTAAGATAGTGTAAAACTGTACACAGTTAAAATTTTTGTGAACAAGTTGTTTAAAAGTTTAAACAACTCTTGATTAACGGGTGACCTGATCTAAGAGTTGTTTAAAATGTTAAGCAACTCGAGTTGTTTAAAGTTTAAACACTTAGTTGATCAACATTTTGAACAACTTGTTTAAAATCACAATTTAAACAACTGGTGTTGTTTAAAGACGGTTGTTTAAAAAGGAGCTGTTGTTCAGTGGGGATTGTTTACACCAACTGGGTTGTTTAAAGAAAGTTGTTTAAAAAGGAGCTGTTGTTCAGTGGGGATTGTTTACACCAACTGGGTTGTTTAAAGAAAGTTGTTTAAAAAGGAGCTGTTGTTCAGTGGGGGTTGTTTACACCAACTGGGTTGTTTAAAGAAAGTTGTATAAAAAGGAGCTGTTGTTCAGTGGGGATTGTTTACACCAACTGGGTTGTTTAAAGAAAGTTGTTTAAAAAGGAGCTGTTGTTCAGTGGGGATTGTTTACACCAACTGGGTTGTTTAAAGAAAGTTGTTTAAAAAGGAGCTGTTGTTCAGTGGGGGTTGTTTACAACAAAAGGGTTGTATAATGGGGTATAATTTGGGTTTGATACTCTGAATAAGTGCACCACTACTTCTGGGTCTCTATATAGGTATATGAAGACTACAAGACTACAATATGGTAGGGTAATTCTGCAATTCATGAATTAGCGCCAAAACAGTGCCCATTTTGCATGAGCGCGCATGCACGCACGTATAAACTGCATATATAGGGATACATGCAATCTATATGGCAAGGAATTTAGCACACGTTATAAACGAGTGCGCGATCAGTGCCGCACTGCATGACGCGACGATTTTAAGTCTACCTTTATTCTGACATTTGCGTACAGATACTGAAAATTGTAACTGTGAACTTACGCTATAAGTTAAAAACTTCAAATTGGTTAATAGAAAAGTGATTTCAATTAAGACATTGAATCCCCAGTCACTTAGAAGCGCGTCGGTAGCTTGGTCGGCCATGATGTGTGTTGTGTTGTGGGTTGGAAAGTAAAAACTATTAAGCTAAATAAATGTAAGTATAGAGACAAACAATATGGAGCCTGCAGAAACACGTGTGGTTGCTTTGGTAGTTTAATCCAGACTCAATGTCCATGTGCTTTTACATATGTATCAATCTGTGTAGTCAACAGAAGACCCTTGCATATACTTGCATTGTGTGTATGCATCTAATATGAATAACAATGAGCTGTGCCTGAACAGCAGCACTGCATTTCTAAGTGGCATGTTAATTTCAATTGCATGTTAGTTTCAAGGAACCTGTTTCTAAACATAACAATGTGAAATAAAGCTTTTAGCCAGCGCGCACTTTACTGGCACGAGACACATGACGTCATATGTAAACAACACTGTCTAAAAGCTCTCGTATAGTAAATATAGCAGTCATTAAATTTTAAACAACGAATGTTTAACAAAATTACTTTCGTTTCGAGCAACATTGTTTACAATTTGTTCAACTGTTGTTTAAGATAGTGTACAACTGTAAGTGAACATCACTTTTTTAAACAGCGTTTTTACTGTGTAAGTGAACATCACTTTTTTAAGCAGCGTTTTTACTGTGTAGATTCCAGAAATTTAGACGTATCTGACCATACTTCGTCACACTTTAATCTATGTTTGCGTTAATTTGCACTGATACCCTGCTGGAGAGAACACACTCATTCACAGTGCGAATCACACTTTGAATCACAGCGTGCTCCACAATGTTAAATTGGGGCGTTTTCACATTGTAGTCGATTCGTTTCACACTGTGGTTCACAGTGTGGATAACCGGAAAAGGAAATAACACACTCATTCACACTCATTCACATTGTATGAAAACAGTGTGATTCACAATGTTAAATTGGGGCGTTTTCACATTGTGGTCGATTCGTTTCACACTGTGGTTCACAGTGTGGATAACCGGAAAAGGAAAGAACACACTCATTCGCAGTGTGAATCACAATGTGTTCACAGTGTGAACTGTGATTTCACACTGTGATTCACACTGTAAATGAGTGTGAATGAGTGTGTTCTTTCCAGCAGGGAATGTAGCTTGCGCAGGAGGCGTCATTTCTTTTGCGTCGTTAGGCCTGTGGCTACGCTCATCAAGCCTGTGAAAGCCGAGCCATCGTAATTATATGGGCACTTTTCAGTTTGCGATAATTTTCGTACCATTCCACCGTCATGTGAAGCGCCAAAGACCCGCGCATCAATCGTTGACGCTGACGCATCCCAACGTCAGGCAAATGACGCCTCGTGTGCGACTGGCGTTAGGGCGTTAATGGCGGTCAAACATATCTAACTTGACCGCATTGAGGCTTAATTGTTCCGATATGAGGCTGCAAACCGCGGCGGTTTTTTATGATAACGTATAATAACACAATGCCATTGTTGCGCAAAGTTGCAATTCAGTTACACGTTAACAAAAACAATATTAGAAAAACGTAACGGTTTACTACGTCATACCTGAAAAAGCCTTTTCATCTGTTTTTCATTTTTATTTTAGTGCACAGTCCGATAAATTCGTCTTGGATCAGATCGCCTGTTACTCCCGGGATATCCCCTACCTGTTCCTCCTCGAGCATCGTAACGGGGACCTAGACGCTCGTCCCAACAAAATTCTCTGGATCGACATGCAGGCCATGGACATCGCTGGCGAGTACGAGATCGAGGGGTTAGAACCTAACATCCACATCGCTACCTTGAATACGTACCAAAGGACGAACTTCTTGACGTTTGAGCTCCAACCGACTGCAAACAGTACAGGTATATGTCTGCATATTTTACATCGTGCAGTGTGGATACATAAAACAATGGCGTATGATATGTTGAAGACTAATTATTGTGAGAAAAAATTAATGAGATTTTTCCTCATTTTGTTTCACATCGTTCATCAAACTTTAAGCAATACCCTTTGACATTGCCACACATTTGCTGATAAAGGGTGACGTCTCTTGACTTAAACTGTTATAATTTCTACAATTTGTGGGGAAGCACAAATTGCTGGCACTTTGATACAGTAATCAAAATATATATTACAAAATTACACATCCCCCTCCCCCCGCTGCCTGATGTGTAAGGTGACGGTTGTTTGCATATTTGCGGCCCTTTTCATTGCCAGGGCTACACCTCGAATTCTTCCCCCGCCTCGTTAGGCAATGGAAATTAAACTTACAAATAAGGTTAAGAGTTTGACGCAGTGAAAAGAAAAACAAAACTATCTTCTCTCTTTACATTGGGTATGGTTAGAATTTATTCTCTCTTCGTAGTGTTTCTTTCCTCTTTATAATAGCTTTTGGAATGTTTTTTTGTTTGTCAAGTCATTTTAAAATGACAATTTTGTTTAATATCCTTGCGTGTTGGCAGGATACTTCACATTGATGTTCGGCACCCTGGACTACATGGGGAACCACATTCACCTCTTCACCGAGCCTGGGTCAGAGAATCTCTACGTGAACTTCCTATGGGCGACGGTCGACATCAAGCGTCAAATGTATTACGTTTTAATGGGCAATGAGAACGCGCATACTGCACTGACCGCAAGGATACACAGCTTTAACATTACATCGAAGTAAGATTTTTTTTTCTTTTCCAAATGAATATCCGTGGCAGGAGGTTACTTTCTTTGCATAAATATGGCAAGTATAGTTTTCTGAGCACTCCCCCTCTTTTTCTCCCCCCAACCCCTCTTCCTCTTCTCCTTGACATTTCTTTATTTCTTTTTTTAGTGGTAGCCTGGTAGGATATCAGATCACTATTCTAGATCTTTCTTCAATCAAACTGCTTTTAGTCATGTTGGTACATCGTCTCAAATAGAGCATTATCGTTCGATGGGGGTAATCTGCCATGTTGTATTTCTTTCTTTTCTGAATATCTTTGTTAAAGGGAGTGTGTCATGACGAGACTATGTGTCTTTCCCGTGGCCCTACCCGGGGCCAATCGGGTTTAGTACGACTACGGACGACGCGACCGTAGCATTCGCGTGCGTGCAACATAATTATGCGAAACCGAAGCGTGAGGAGAACTTCGGTCTGTTCCGCCAACACTAGCGCGTACTGACCCAGTATAGTGCGCGCTGACCCAAATTAATCAAGTCCAATCGTTTACGTGCAGTTGTCCAAAAGAAGACGTAGACGGCGTTAACCAGTATTTGCCATGATACACTCCCTTTAAACACACATCATGCTCAGGGGAACACTTGGAAGGTGACTTTCCGATTCATCCTTGCGGGAATGCTACTTCATCCTGTTTAAGTTATTAATTGGAGTGTGTTTGTCTAAATGTCGCTATTATTTTGAAGGATATCCCATCATAGTCTCCTACATGTTACATTGTAATGTTTAATCAATTTTTCTTACATCATAACTCTGTTATTTTCCAGGAATGTCACCAACATTACCGAAGTGGATGTATCTCAATACACCATCAATTCGATCCAGGCCTACGAAAAGACAGGTATGTTATTAAGGTCATCTAAAGTCTAGAACATTGGAACAAAATATCGAAATTACTGACACTGTTGCATTTTGCAAGTATTGATATTTTTCAGATTTTACCAGTCAACATGATATCTATGTAAGCAGAACAAAATAATATCAACAATTGTGTGTAATTAATGCTCTAAAATGTTTGACATTTCTGGTTTTGATTGATATTAGCCAAAAACAAAAATAATGTGCAGATAATTATATGAAAAGCTTTTTACTGATTATACTAATCATGTTGATCTCCCTTCTCACCTCTCTCTCTCTCTCTCTCTTTCACCCCTCTCTCTCTCTCTCTCTCTCTCTCTCTATTTTCTCTCTCTTTCTCTCTCTTTCACCCTCTCTCTCTCTATCTTTCTCTCTCTCTCTTTCTCTCTCTCTCTCTCCCTCACTCTCTGTCTCTCTTTTTCCCCTCTCTTTTCTCTCTTATTTCTCTCTTGTCCTTTTCCCCTTTTTCCACCTCTCTGCATCTTTCTCTTGCTTTCTCACGCACATCATACAGGTCAGTTATTTGCAGTTTCGCCCGGACTCTTTCCTAAAGAGTATCCACCTTGGTATTTGGTTGTAGTCGATCCGGTAACGGGTAGCGTCAAACCGGTGATCCAGATTGCATCATCGGGTAAGAATGGTTCCCTGCCCCTTTTACATTTCCTTTCAATGACCCAATGTTAGCTCCATGCACTTCCATTTGCTCAGGTAACATTCGCTCAGAGATGAAAGAGCATCGAGGGGATTTCAGATTAAGGAATTCTAGTAGTGTATGAATCTGACTGCAAAGCAACCCTCCCCGTAGCCCGTGTCACTCACTCATAATTTTGATCCAGTTGTATTATACTCTCTCCCTCTTCCCCCTTATCTGTCTGTCTGTCTCTGGCTCCTCTGTCTCTCTCTGTCTGTCTGTCTGTCTGTCTCTCTCTCTCTCCATCTCTCTTTCCCTGTCCCTCCCCTTCTCTCTCTCCCTCTACTCGTTCCTCATGTATGATACATATGGCAGACAACAGACCGAACGATAATATTACATTACGTCTATGGCCAAGAATCGGGCAGTTGGAGTCGGTCTGAAGTTGGTTTAATTGGCAGAGTGACTGCATGATGTATAACTTGCTAGCTATATTTGTATAAGTCCTGAACCATGATCAAGCTATTTTTTCATATGATGTTCTAGATTCACAGTCTATAAAACTCGCAAAATTTGCTGATTTCATGTGGCAAAAAAAATGCGATCACCGTAACTTCTTCAACCGTTTGTTGTACTTAAATATGACTTTTTTTTATATTATCACCTTGTTTTTCTCCAGGTATGTTCGCTCCTTTTTATGGAGGAGCTATCGTGAACATTGACCAAACCCACGGTCTCCTCTTTTACAATTTCCGCGTGGCCGACTCCATGGCCAACATCATAGCAACCGTTTCCCTGGATACGCAAGAGGTCTTCTTCTCCCAGCTTACCTCTCTTCAACTCGTCCACAACATAGCTCACTTCGACGCCTACGCGCCCTAGGACTGCAGACGATTCGGCCCTCTACGAATGATCTGGCGACGCAGTACACATACCACTTGTTACGAGGGGAGCAAATTAATTAGTGATAAAAAGAGTACAAGTTAATTTAATTCTTTCTGTTTACATTAGGCATCTTTTAAAATAGTAGTTTAAGCAAATACAAAAATAGTAAACACAAACATATCGGAACAATTTTTTTTTATACATTGAAAGATGTTTTTATACCGATACGATAGAAGATGTAACAATGTCTGAATTATGAGGAAAGAAAATACATTCATCACGCTGATATTCTTTTTAACAATCAACCGCATATGTGCATGTATGTAGATACTTTCTTTTGTTTCTGATTTTCGCAGGTTTTCCTAAATTTGTTTATGTTTCCCAGATTCAAGTCACCATTTTAGTAATAAACAATTCACATTGACTTCATGTAAAACTGGTTTCTCTCAAAATAATTACAACAGGGCAAATGTGCTATATTTTAATGCGTTCTTATCTCCATTTCATACATTAATGAAGGTCTCTCGGATTATTCCCCTCATACAGTTCCAGCCATAGACGTGTGTATTACAAATAAGATTTACGCTACTGAGTAGATTTATCATTTTTAATAAGTGTCATGATAACCCATAAAAATTGACGATGGGATTTACACTAAATTTGAATTATAAAATGCCAATTTAATCATATGAATTCATTAAAAGCATATGTTTATTATGTTCTCACATATTACTGAAGGTTGCAAAAATATGAATTATCAAAAAAATATATATCTTATTACAATGTTTGTCGCCATTATTGAATTCATATGTACTTTGTTTATGTTTAAATATGTTCATATTGAAACGGAAATAAATAAATACAAATCGAATCAAAAGCTTTGTCTTTCGTTTCGTTGAAATATTATAAAATGATGGAGGAGAGAGTTATGTTATCCATATTTTAGCAAATTTTTCGTTCCTTAATTTGCATAATTACTATGGTTGCCCTACCCGAACAGTAGAAGCATTAAATGTATAATATTAATATCCCACTTATGAATGCAAAGAAATTGACTATTTACGTTGTTTGGACAGATATACATAAATAAACAAATAAGAGTTCCATAAAAATGTCGGGATAGGGGAGTCGAGTGAGAGAGACAGAAAAGAAGGAAACTGGGGAAAGTAACAGATAAAGAAATTTGATTTGGAAGAAAAGGGAGAGACAGGAAAATAAAGATAGAGAAGGGGGAGGATCGGGGGATAAAGAAAGAGAGAGACAGAGAAACAGAGAGACAGACAGATATAAAGAGAGACACAGAGAGGGGGATTACATGAAAGCGAAAGAAAAAAAAGGGATTGAAGAAATAAACTAATATTCTCGTCACAAAATAGCAGTCAAGACTAAAAAGAACCATATGCCAATTATAAACGTGTTTTTTAACGGAATAAGTCATAATCTTTCCAGTTGGTTACTTAATCGTATAGAATCCAACCAAAACATTTAAGATGTCAAATTAATTATAGTCAAACTGACCATTTGTAGATGAAAGGGGTTTATTTCACGAACATAACCCCCGACATTTCGTGAGTGAAGGGGAATGTTTTCACAGAAGGTCAGGTAACGCGGCAACCTGACCTGACGCGATGACCCGATGGTTCAAAGTAAGCCACTCAAAGGGTGTTTGAATCAAAGAATAACCGGGGAAAAGAAATACTCTCATCACAAAATAGCAGTCAACAATGCATAAAGTCTTTATGCCAATTATACAACCGTTTTAGACGGAATAATTATTTTATATTTCCAGTTGATCAGTGATCGTATAAAGTCCGGTACTTTGAGTCCGTTATCTGATCAATCCAACAGAAAACTTTAAGATGCCAAATGGTCAAGCTGACCCTTTCGTTCTTTGACGGGTGATTAAGAGGCTAGTCAAGTTGAAAGAGGGACTTCTAATCTGATGTTTTTATGATGGAGTTGTTTTAGATGTCGATTTTGCGAAGGTTCATACTTCCCAAAATTACGAAAAATGAAATATGGTTCGTAATTCCGAATATGAAATAGGGTTCTTAATTCCGAAGGTTCGTAATTCCAAGAGTGAAAATAGGATTCATAATTCCAAAGGCCGTAATGTAAATGAAATAAGGGTCATAATACCGAAAAATGAAAAAAGGTATAATATAATTCAGAAAATGAAGAAGAAAAAAAAGGTCGTAATTCAGAAAATAAGAAGTAGAAAGATTCAGGGGAAATTTGAAATGGGGTCAATATGTGATATCATCGTCTAGTGGGATGATTGACCTCTTGGCCTTTTGCCAAACAATTCATGGGTGGATCCAGGGATCGAAAGGGCGTTTCTATCCACCCCCGCCCTGCCCCTCGTGAACAAAGAAGGAATACGAAAATAAGAGGAAGGTGGAGAGTGAAGAGGAGAAGATTAAATGAAGAAGGTGAATAATTATGTTTTTGCTCTAGATTGACCCCGTGTCTTTACAGGTAGGGGTCTCTTTAAGACCACCAGGATGGGTGGGGATGACTTGTGGAGGGAGCCCCCCCCCCCTCCCTCGTGCCAGTGTTAGAATTTTTTCACATTAAAACAAAATTGTCCCTCCTGGAACTCTATCGTATATAGGCAAAAATTACTGTCTACAAATACCCAGCAATCAATATTCCCAGGTCCACGCGGCTTACGGCTAAGCTTAACGTCGAAGTTTGACCGCGGCAATTATTCTTTTACTTGAAAGACAATGGCCTCATTAATATTCCGGCCCATCAAGTAAATTCCTTACACGTGGACAATGGGATGGAAAATAAAAGAGAAATATTTACTTCCTCTTTGCCGTCATTTCTTTGAGATGGGTGTGCGTGATCTTTGTCAAAAGAGTTATGAAAAAAGGGTTAAATTGAAGATAAATTCGAAGATTATCTTTGAAAGACATACTTAAGTATTTGACTCTTTCACTCATTTTGAGTAAAAACGCAAGAATGACCAAAAAGCCGACATTAACTAATTAACGAGTGGAATCTAAAGAGAACGAAGAGAGCGGGAAACAAAATGCCTTTAACTCTATTTCACATACTTTTCAGGTTATTGTTTTCAATACTAATGCTCCAGCGTAAGTAAGGACATATAGATACTACCTTTTATTTCTTTGACACATTTTGTACATAAATTAAAGCAGAATTAGCTGAATTTCTTGCTGAAATACATGGATCATTAATGACTCAGACTGATGTTTTCACGGGCCCTTCCCCCCTTACACCCAAACCCAGATTGGATGACAGTGAAAATGGCGTTAGTAATGCAAAATAATAAAAGGGGGAGAAATACGAAATGAAAATATTACAATGATATACCGCTATTGTATAGTGCATATCACATATGATATAAAGTCTCTTTACGGTTAAAAAGGAATTTAATATTATAACCCCGGCTTTTTTGTAAAGCTCCAGCAATGGTAGCTCAGTGCATTCAAGGAATAAATCCTACCAGATACCCACAAAATATACCTGGGTCGAGTGTGGTAAATGTAGATTAATGTCTTTTTAACGGATGTTGGTGCTGTGGCAGGGATTCGAACCGCGTACCTCGTATTTCACAGTCCGAACACGCATTCCCTTGATCACAACACCGCTACAAATGACCATTCTACCGTGAGAGGCGTTTATCCTATATTTGTTAAAACGGCGGGTTTAGCACTCAAAATCTATCCGAGTTATTAGAATATTACAACTTGACCGAAAAAAAAACATGTTAGAGGGTTCAGTGAACAAGTTATAAGTCTAAGTATAAGCGAGCGTTGAAGGTGATGCTTCCTTTTTCATAATCATAATTAGTTGAATAAATTCGAATATCATCTAAACGCCCCTGTCACACCACCAAACTGACTCCGAATCGACTCCTCATCGACCCGGCGCTTGGTCATTCAGGGCAATCGGGGGTAATATAATTTTGATCGGTCTTTTGTTGTGGGTCTGATGTCAGTCTCGTTGATGCGACCGGCGTATTGCCCTGGCTTGTTTATCGCATGTAAGAGCGATGCAAATAATATCATTTATTATTCTGTCTACAAGCGGCCTTTGCACGCTTCGTGACGTTAACTGTTGTATCACTCACATTATCATTCTCATAATAACGATCACACTAATTGCAGGTACGGTACGATGGGCATGATGGTGAAATAAATTAATACATCATGTGATGCGATCCGTTAAAAATAACGTTTAATCTCTCCCTTCCTCTCCCTTTCTCCAGTTCTCTCTCAATTTTCCCTTCCCAATCTCCCCAATCTCCCCAATCTCCCCCTTTCCCCTCTCTATCCCTATTCCCCGTCTCCCCCTCCACCCCCTCTCTGTCTCCCTCCCTCTTCCTCCATTTTCCTCCCTTTCATTATTTCTTTCATGGGTGCTGAAATTGGAAACGCTCGCAAGCTTTACCGCTTTAAAACTGTACCTCAAGTTGTTGGAATAATTTCAAATAACAACTGTCTCTTCAAATACCGAACCTTCATGACAATAAACTCCCCTCAGTTGACAATTCTCACCTCATTACTAACACCCTCTCGTGACGTACCGTCGTCAAGTACCCCCCCCCCCCACCTCTCCCACCAACACCACCACCACCAACACTAACTGGCCATCGCATCAAAATCGCTTTGCTCAGGTGATCTAAGTACTTGAAGCCAACACGATGACATCAGACTCGCTTATCAGGTCACTTTTGCTCGTCGAATATCTGTCTTTTAAAAATAAATGAGCAATCTTTTGCTTTCTCTTTTGCGCCACAGAGTGCAGTTCCTCACATGAACGTATTCCTGATTGCTAGCGAATCAAATTGGAACAGAACAGCAACAAAGGAAGCCACTTCACTACATTCGCATCCGAAAATTCAGAATGACAATATTCAACCTTGACTAGAAACATGATTAAATTGTGAATCACCTCGGTGCACGCACTCACGATTTCGACCGAGAAACATGATTGACGAACAGAAGAGGATTTTTCAATTGAATTCAAGCGTCGCAAAAACCGTCTTTGAATAATCCCAATATAGTTGACCTCCATAACAACTTCGCGGTAAACACGTTCACAAATTAACTACATTCCCATCCGAAAATTCAGAATGATAATATTCAACTCATCTCGAAACATGATTACTTGTGAAACATCTTGGTGTACGCACGCAAGATTTAGGTCATGTATATACTATTGACGAACAGAAGAGGATGTTTTAATTGAACTCAAGCGTCGTCGAGAAATAATCACAATAGTTGGCCTCCATTATAAATTCGAGGAATATAAAAGCCTTCACAAATTAACTTCTTTCCCATTCGAGAATTCAGAATGATAATATTCAATTTTGACTTGAAACATGATTAAATTGTG